AGATTTAAATAATTAAATATTTTGCATATAATTGAGTTTAGTTGATTTTATCTGAAAATTGTATGAAATAAACACTAAAAAATGCTTGCATACACGTTAGTCTTGAAGTATTTCACCATTCCAACTTGAAAGTTTCTTAAAGTAATTACTTTTATTACTATTAAAATATTTGTAGACAGTGAAAATGTTTACGTTACTGAAATTTCAAACATCAAGTTAACTAATCTTAACTTTCAAAAACCACCGGTAAAGTCTAATCTATTTTAAATTAATCTATTTTAGGTAAATCAGAAGGTTTTGTCAAAAAAAAAAATGACTACGTTGACCTTCTCTGTACGGATACTATTATCATTTACACCTTAAATCTCCGGTAAATAGATAAATCTCACGTCCATATAATGTACTACGTGTATGTATAATACTTACGAAGAATTGTAGCGTAGTGTAAAATTTGCTGTTAAGCTGTTGTTGTCGATTAGCCCCATTATATTTATTTATTTATACTTTATGCACAAAACAAAACTTGTACACAGGCGGACTTAATGCCATGGGCATTCTCTTCCAGTCGACCATAGGGTGGTGCAGAGATAATGCATGGTAGGTGCATTGACAAAAGAATAACAAACAACAACAAAACAAAAAAAAGAAGAACAAACTCAAAACAAATTATAGGTTGAAAACAAATTTGAATAATGTAATTATTATCTGACCTTTAGTTTTTTTCTCACAGTAATCTAGTCTCGTTTTCATAACAATGTAAAAATCCATCAATACGCGGTATCATGCGATGTGAGCTAAAATATTAACAGCTGGTTCATATCCGAACTGTTGCCACGAAACAATAGGTTTCAAGGGAAGTGGTGTCATTCACGTTGTGATGGCTGTGGATTTCGGTATGCGGCTTACACCAGTCGGGTGATAGACTCATCTACCCATTTCGTTTAGTGTTATTAAACAAATTATGAAGGAAGGATTACTGGTGGCCTAGAGGCTTTTCAAGCTTCAACAGGACAGATGGGCGAGCACAGGTTCAGCCAGGAGCGATGGGCTTTGCCAGGTAGTGTATTGTGAGCCCACACGGGGAGCTCTCATGCGCTCCTATGTGAAAGGCGGGCAGTCGTTATATAAAACAAATACAATTTTTTACTGGTGGTAGGACCTCTTGTGAGTCCGCACGGGTAAGTACCACCACCCTGCCTATTTCTGCCGTGAAGCAGTAATGCGTTTCGGTTTGAAGGCTGGGGTAGCCGTTTTAGGTAACTATACTTGAGACCTTAGAACTTACATCTCAAGGTGGGTGGCGCATTTATGTTGTGGATGTCTATGGGCTTCAGTAACCACTTATCACTAGGTGGGCTGTGAGCTCGTCCACACATCTAAGCTATAAAAAAAAATTCGACCATTTAAAGTGGACAGTATTCTTTTTGTTAAATAAAATGGGCTCTGATACCACGACCACGACCGTCTATCTAACAAAAGGTCTTGACCTATGAAACAATTTACCTATTTATAGCTGGTAAATAAATTCTAAATTCAAATTAATTTTAATGTTGAAATATGAAATATTGTTTTCAAATTCAGTCATATGTTTACTATTTGGTTTCACTACATTTTACGTCAATATGGACACAATAAATTAGAAGTACATAATCATGTAATACGAGCTCCGTCGCGGCAGCAATGCCGCACCAACGGCTCACAACATTAGTGACGTGTTCGGAGTCAACACTACGAGTATAAACGAACGCACGACTCGCTATTGGTTCAAACGCTTCCGTCATGGAAACTTTGATTTAAAAACTGAATCCCGTGGTCGTCCCAAAAACTAAAATCAACAACGATGAATTAAAGGCCGTAGTGCTAGCTGACGATACTCAATTTACCGCTAAGTTGGCGACAGCTTATGGCAGCTTCAACGTTATCTACAAAACAATAATGGTCCATTTGCGTTAAATTGCGAAGGTAAAAAATATTGATAAGCGGGTGCCAAACGAACTGAACGATCACCAGCGCAATGAACGTGTCAAGATATATCTTGCGTTGCTTAACAGACACAGAAACGAACCTCGGTCTTGAACCATATTACCACTTAGGTAGGTGTCTGTAAGTCGTAAATATGTATAATAGTAGATAAAAATCATATCAATTATTAGACCGAATAACTTTTTATTGCGGTGTTGACTTTTATTGTAAAGTAAGTAAATGTTGTTGTAAAAGTAATTGTTGTGTAATATGTATATAAATATAATTAAACTTAAGGCAATTTGCGACACAGAACACGCACAAATCATTTTAGATTGCCTTGACAAAGACATGGTTTATCGCTTTCTACGTCTGTGGCTCGAACATGGCCTTTTTGTGGCATCAGGTAAACAAATATTAATTTTATTAACTTAGACGTAATGCAAATTAGTAATGTAGGTGCAATGTTTGTACTTGCGAAATGTTACTAACTAGGAAACGTTGTGCAAATATTATGGCTCTTATTATTTGATGAGAATGTTGAATTTTTTTTTTTTTTTTTTTTTTTTTTTTTTATTGCTTAGATGTGTGGACGAGCTCACAGCCCACCTGGTGTTAAGTGGTTACTGGAGCCCATAGACATCTACAACGTAAATGCGCCACACACCTTGAGATATAGTTCTAAGGTCTCAGTATAGTCACAACGGCTGCCCCACCCTTCAAACCGAAACGCATTACTGCTTCACGGCAGAAATAGGCGGGGCGGTGGTACCTACCCGTGCGGACTCACAAGAGGTCCTACCACCAGTAAAAGGTGGTAGGACCTCTTGTGATTCATTCACATCAATATTTACAATCATATAACAGAATTAATATACATAAAATAGAATTCAACGCACAAATAAAAGAAGATATCGACAATGAAGGATATCACACACATAATATTTCTAAAAGACATGATATTTGGCATATTTTATCTTTAAAATAAACAATATGTAGTTACTATTTATCCGTTATGTCGTTTTTTTTTTTTCCTACCTAAGCTGGTAGCCTGGAGCGGCTATTCCAGCGTAACCGTAACTAGTAGGTGAGCTCACGGGGCTCAAACCTGACGACGATGCTAACACGAACCCTAGCAAGAGCCGTGCTTCGCAGAATCTACGAGGTTCGACGAGAACGGTGACCGGTGCTTGAAGTACCTAAAAGCACCGTTAGTGGATCGGGAGGATCCGAGATGACGTGCCTTATGTCGTTATGTACGAGCTAGGTTCATCAACCGCTAATGAAGCCGCAAAACACTCGTTAAAGTTGTGTTGACATCAGTAAAAGTGAGTAAAGCATGAGTGTGATATGGGCTTCGGTATCCACTTAAGATAAGTCGGCCATGACATCGTCGGGCCATTTAGAATAATTACAGTATCAAAACTTTGTAGGCAGACGGCCCACCTGAGTGTGAGCCGTCTGTGAGTGAGTGGTTACCGTCGCCCATGCATTTCAGCAATGCCAGGGGCAGAGCCAAGTCGCTGCCTACCGCTTAATACAAGCCTCGTTTGAAGAAGGACATGTCATAGCGCTCGGGAAATACCGTAGAGGGGACTCATTCCATAGCCGGATGGTACGTGGTAAAAAATACCTCTGGAAACGCACTGTGGATGACCGCAGTGACTCCAAGTAGTATACGAAAAAGATTTATTTTAAATTGCATTTTATTGACCTTCTTTAAAACTTCGGGTACTTTACGACTTAATCTCGGATTGGATTAAACCGTAAAATAGTTTTAATTTTATCTACACTTAACGAAAACCGAAAAAAAATTTGACCTTACTTTAACGATTTTCTTATTACAGAATGTCACTCTACATTAATAAATAAACATTAATAATTTTGATTGTAGAAACAATTAACACTTCATCTTGCGATGATGACAATTATACCAAAGCAAAGGTACCTAACATTGTTATTTGATCAAAAAATTTGGAGGTTATATTTTTTGTGTGTGTTATGGTATAATGTACCTACATATAATGTAATCATTAAATAATTTGGCTATACAGAGTGTCTGATAATGTGTATATTCCGCGGAAACGTGGCTATAGTATCAGTTGAAGTCGTCGTGGCCTAAAGGATAAGACGTCCGGTGCATTCGTATCTAGCGATGCAACGGTGTTCGATTCCTGTAGGCGGGTATCAATTTTTCTAATGAAATACGTACTTGACAAATGTTCACGATTAACTTCCACGGTGAAGGAATAACATCGTGTAATAAAAATCAAACCCACAAAATTATAATTTGCGTAATTACTGGTGGCAGGACCTCTTGTGAGTCCGCATAAGTAGATACTACCACCCTGCCTCATTCTGCTGTGAGGCGGTAATGCGTTTTGGTTTGAAGGGTGGGGCAATAGTTACATTATACAATTAAGAGATGTCATGTCTCAAAGTGGAATGCACATAATAATTTCTGTGTATAATCATATGGTCGAATTTTCGGCGAACAGTAGTAATTATAATGAGGTATTATAGTAATATTCCCCTAAATTGCATTCCGCACAGCTACCGAGTTTCAAAGGGGTATTTAAGTTTTGCATATTTACGTACTTAACGCACGTTCAAACCTGACAGTTTTCTACCAGATTTATTAGTTTTTCAACTTCTATTTTGATAAACATATGGCTTGAGGTCGATACTCCACATTTCTGGTGAGCCACTTTATCAAATAAAGACCTCTAGACTAAGTGTGACCAAACTCCCATCACGCAAGACATTGCCAATCGGAAATGGCGTTGGATAGACACGCTCTACGGCGCAGCAGAGTCAACGCAGCATCAATCGCATTTGAGTGGCAACCACTTGGCAGGAGAAGACCTGGTCTCCCTGTACATACTTGGCGACGCACCGCGGAGAGCGAGATGAGGACTGCTGGCATGACCTGGAGTGATATCAAGGAGCAAGCGCGAGACAGGGTCAAGTGGATACAACTTATGAAAGCCCTATGTAACCTAGGACTACAACAACAACAACAACAACGGCACAAGCGATCAGAATTTATTAGTTCTATTTGTGACCGATGCTGTTGCAATAGACGGAGTGACCCTCGTATTAGTGGTGTATTCGAAGGCCATAGAAACGTCGTGGTTGATCACGTCTCTTGAGTCATCCACGGCACAAGTCAGGAACTTGTTATACAAACTGAGGTCAATAAAACCAACTCCACAGGGGCGGTCTATTAGACGTGACGTCATCATTCCTTGCGCGAAGCCCGAGCACTCAATCAATGAACCCAAGTCATCCTGAAAGAGGAAACGTATTATTATGATTGTTATGTTGCAATTGTTTTCCAGAGTGTACGTACCTGTTCACACAGCGTATGTACATTAACACTTATACTACAGTTTGTAATAGAAATTTAGATTTCCATCACTCCATTATAATCAAAAGCAAGACTCTCATATTTCTAATAATTAACTGAACTACCAATAATTTCATCTTTTTCATTTAACCTGTTGATACCGGTCAAGATATTAGAACGAAGATTATAAAATTATTGTATTGTCATTATGGAAGGTAGAAGGAGCACCATCTCGTCTCAGTGTATTAAAAAGCTTCTAAAAAGTATATAAACTACCATACTTCATTCATCATTCTTCAATCCAGCACCCTTTACTCTATTTGAAACTGCTATATATTCGTATCATTTTCACTTCCTACACTAGTGCTATTTCGGTGAGTCTTCCAACAATAACTTTTTTTATTTTTTTTATTTTTGGCTTAGATGTGTGGAAGAGCTCACAGCCCACCTGGTGTTAAGTGGTTACTGGAGCCTATAGACATCTACAACGTAAATGCGCCACACACCTTGAGATATAGTTCTAAGGTCTCAGTATAGTCACAACGGCTGCCCCACCCTTCAAACCGAAACGCATTACTGCTTCACGGCAGAAATAGGCGGGGCGGTGGTACCTACCCGTACGGACTCACAAGAAGTCCTACCACTAGCTGATTACGGCTGGATACTTTTTCAGTTTGTCCCTTATACATGATGGTGCTTCTTACTTTTACACCCATAACTGTCATGGGTTCTTGATAACTTTACAAGACAATCGGACGTATAGAAGTCGGTGAAAATGACGTTCAAGGATTCCGTTACATACAAACTTAGCGAACTAATAAAAGCGTGTTAAAACTATATATAAAATCGACACGTATAAAATTTTCCTTTCAATACCTAAAACGTATTATAGATACATTTCCTTACATCACAAATATTAGGTACTAATGATTGTGTAACTAACTACGTGCTAATAAAATAAGCAAACAAAATAGAACGCTAAAAAATAAAGTGTAATACTCACAGGACACAAGGCACCATATTTCGTTGACTGCAAAAAAATAAGTTTTTTTTTTATTGCTTAGATGGGTGGACAAGCTCACAGCCCACCTTGTGTTAAGTGGTTACTGGAGCCCATAGACATCTACAACGTAAATGTGCCACCCATCTTGAGATATAAGTTCTAAGGGTCTCAGTATAGTTACTACGGCTGCCCCAACTTTCAAACCGAAACGCATTATTGCTTCACGGCAGAAATAGGCAGGGTGGTGGTACGTACCCGCGCGGACTCACAAGAGGTCCTACCTCAAATGAGAGGTAATTACGCAAATTATAATTTTGCGGGTTTGATTTTTATTACACGATGTTTCCTTCGCCGTGGAAGTCAATCGTGAACATTTGTTGAGTACGTATTTCATTAGAAAAACTGGTGCATCGCTCAACACGAATGCACCGGACGTCTTATCGCTTAGGCCACGACGACTTTTAAAAGTCTCCCAGATTAAACGTTAATTTATTTGTAAAGTAGTATCTAGTATTAGTAGTATAGTTATACCAATAAATACACTTCAACATTCAATACGCATAATACACGATATAACGAATTCATTTTCAAAATAATACTTCAACGATATCGTTTTTAGCTGAAGTTTTTAAATTCGAAAAATGTAATAAAATAAATTCTGTACCTTACACGCTGGCTGTCGAAGACACAAATACTTTTCTTTGTAGTTCCATATTTGATAACATTTTTCGGGCGGCAATATTTCAACATCCATACGTCGAAGTTTTAGGAGCAATGGTAACATATAACCCTATTATGAAATAATTTAAGGTTTTAGCAAATTAAATTACATAGTGACAAGTAAAATTCATATTTATCTATTGTTTCTTTTCTCTGTGGATCCGATGTGGCACTGCGCACCGCTCGGGACTCTCATTTAACCTCGTGCCGACAGACGTATCCCAGCATTCGAGAAATATCGCAGAGAAGAGTTTATTCCAAAGCTGGATGGAACGTGGCAAAAATTATGCCTTAAAACGTACTGTTAATGAACACAGCGATACCAGGTGGCAAGGATGATAACGAGTGGTACCCATTGCATCAGTAAAAACATTATGTGATCATCTCAAACAAATTCTTAGGGCATACTCTATTGTTTATACTGTACAACCTCTAGAGGGAGAAGTCTAAAGACTCTTTAGACTCTTTAGACTTCTCTCTCGCTATATTTTCCGAGAGCTTCAATTCATTTAGAATACCTAACCAATATTTTAGAAAAAGAAAAAATATACGATCACGACCTGTCAGAAAAGAGCCGGGAAAATTTTGAATAGTGCTAACGACAATTTCAACAAATTATGTGTATTACAATTATTACAAACAAGTTTGGAACAACTTCCGAAGCGTACTTTGAATTAATTACGTAGGACAATGGTACGATTATATCCAGTCTCAAAACATGGTTCATGATTAAAAGAATATTCTATTGAATTTTCTCTTCTGGTTTATCCATTGTAGCTTTCTATTGCAGTTTCTAAATTAGGAATACGTACATTTCTTCTACTACCCCATCCGTAATAGCGACAGGTAGTATCTCCTATTCGACTCTGATCTCTCGGTGCTGATGTTCCATATCGTACCCTGTTGACGACATAATCGGAACCAGTCTCACGATTTTGGAAGGAAAAGTGTTGATTCAATACCAAAATTGCCAAATTATCTGTGGAACATTGCACCCAGCGAGAAGTGTGATTGTATCCTAAAACAAAACTTCAATAAAATTAGTAAATTTAACTAACACTCATATTGACTGGTCGTAATATCGAAAGAAAATACCTCTATGTAAGCACACGTGCTCTGCTTCTCTGCTTATTCCAGTGTTTTCAATAAAATTATGAGTACCAGCATGAACGTCGAATTTGTATCTTTCACCAAAGACACAGCTCGCTGGAGTGAGAACGACGTTTGTTTCAATAAGAGACCCTATGCAGAACATCATTGCATGGGACAGATAATGGACCTGAGGAATTTCAAACGCTTAAATTCTAATGGACCCAATTCTTGACATCTGAGCATCAAGATTATACATTTTTATTTTCCAATAATTGTTACGCGGCATTGTAGTTTTTTTTAGGTAGATATGAGTGAACGATGGCACGGCCCAATCTGGCGTTAAGTGGTTAACGAAGCGCAGTAACAAACAATTTCCCGTATTTGTAATTGTATACAATGCTTTTACAGTTTCGCATCAGAAATAGATAGCATGGACCCATACGGCCTTACGACGCCCTCCCAGAACACTACTAAAGGATTCTTTTTACTAATTTGAGACTTAAAATTGTCACTATAAATTACTCAATATGAAAAGCACCGTTGCATTCCGCAAAGAAGTCAAGCTTTTCAGTTTGAACTAGGTCCGAACGGGAAGGAAAGTCATGGTTTTAATTATAATACAATTAACAACTCTCATGGATATCGCCAAGATATGGCGCTGCCAACAATTGAGGTTTCAGCGTCATGCCTCAACTATGGCGCTGCGCACGGAATAGATAAATATTCCGTGGCGCTGCGGTACCGTTGTAGCGTATCAGGGCTCCAAAATAATTCAAACAAAATAAAATGATTACGACAAACTGTCCTTCCGATGGGTCCGTAGGCGTTCCTAGGAAACCAGCTGCATTGTTGAAGTCTATATCTACTGTAAAAAGTAATTAAAGTTTGTTATAATTTACCATTAGATTGTATGTAATTCATGTATGTGGTACATTTATGTAAGTTAATTATATAATATATGGATACAAAAGCCCATCCTACTGGAATGAAATGCACGTGAAATCTGGTGTCTGGCTGGTGTCGGTAAATACATATTTATAGAAAAGAAAACGTATATGTATATGTATGTTCACATAAAACTCCAGAACCCTTAGTTCAATTGTTATGAGACTTCGCACATATGTATGTATAGAGAAGGCGACATGACCACTCAAACGATGATAATTACATTATAAAAATTTCCACAGGAGCTGTCACTGAGAAAATAAAGAAATGGAAATAGTATAGTGGCGAATAGGTGGTAGCTGGTGGCAGTGATTTTGATCTTTTGAACCATAGATCGAATTGATTTGAAATCTATATATTATGTATACAAAAGTTAACGAATGTGTGAATGTGTGTTCACCTAAAATTATCTTGCGTTGTTAGCTTTCTGGATCGTTTTGTGGCCTTCATGTTCTAATATAAAATTGAATTTTTTTGCGAGAGAAATCGTGCGCGCTTTCATTATATTAATACACATACTAATATTTTTCTAAGTAACTTCAGACTTATTATGTATTTTATAAGAAATTAACCTGTATATATATTTAAGGTATTGTGTCATCAATTCGTAGGTTTTAAATTAGTTAAAATACAAATTACAATTTAAAATATAAACTTACACAGTGTCGCAATGCCACCAATTTGTCCCGCACCCATGATTTTATCTGCAATTATAAAATGGATTTATAGATTATTCTTTTCTCGACATAATTTACCAGCCAACTTTTTAACTAAATGAACAATTGTTAAAAAAAATTATGCTTCTGTTTTGTTACGGTTCTGAAAATCTTAATTATGAAAAAAACTGTATCAAAACAAACATGATAAAGAAAATTGTTATGGAATTTTTCATTGCTTGAAGTAATTCAATAATACTATCATACTTTTCACTGTAACGGTAGGTAATATGTCTGTTTATTGAAGACTAGCGGCCCGCTCCGGCTTCACTCGGTCTTTAACAAAAATTTTAACGATATTTGACGTTGTTTTATTTTTTTAAATAAAAGAACACTTATTGCGGCATAACTATAATAGTTAGACATTATGCTGTCGCGACACTTTTTGCAAATAATAATGTGTTCTACAAAGTTGTAGTACATTATTTTAATCTATCATCAATAGTTTTCGCAGGGAACGCGATGGAAAGAATATATAAGGTAATTTTTTTACACCTTGGGTTACATTATTGGAGTTTTAGTAAGGATCCTTAATTTTTTCAAAAAAGATTATATATAGCCTATGGCACTCGGGAATAGTGTAGCTTCCAAGCAGTGAAATAATTTTTCAAATCGGTTCAGTAGTTTCGGAGCCTATTCAATAAAAATAAAAAAACAAACAAACATATCTTTCCTCTTTATAATATTAGTATAAGTATAAGTTTAGAAGTATAGATGAAATATAATATACATAATATGCATTTATTGATAAATTGGGATTGTAGATTGAAGTGTTTTCTCATTCCTCCAATAAAGCTACTTTCAGCTGTTGCATGTTCCCAGGGGCTGGTTCTAATTGTCTTACTCGCTGGTTTAGTTCGTCCCATAAAATTAAATGTTATATGGGATTAATGTCTGGACTTCGCAAAGGCGAATGCAGAACCTGTATATTCACTTCTCCCAAATAATTTCTACTTAGCCGAACATCCCGTGCATTATCGTCCACTAATTTCAATTCTTGAACGATAAATCCTCAGTATAGCACTACATGTTCTTCAAAAATGTCAGTAATCTACGAATGAGCAGTCAGAGTTCTTCTATCTACGATAATAATCTCTGTATCGGCTTCAAAGCTTATACCTACCCAGAACAAAAGTGGACCACCTCCAGGGATTACCCTTTCAAAACGACACATTATGCATAATATGGTTCTTCTGGTTTATGATATACTTTTTTGCAACCATCAGCATCATATAGATATTTATGGAACTGATCATAAAGTACTTGTCCCCTCATGCTTAACCAGTCACGGTTTTCACAAGCAAAACTTAACCTTATTATATTAGCTGTGGTGAGTTTAGGATCTGTTGCGGGTTTATGTGGTTTTATACCACGTTCTTTAACGCACCTTCTTATCACTTAAACCGGAATAACTGACAGCTCTAGGCAGGTGCTGTAAATCTACTCTAGAACGATGATAATTTCTGAGGCTTGCTGACCGTATAAATCGATCATCCCGTTCAGCTGTCTTTCTCCTTCAGCCTGATCCAGGTCTTTTGGTGAAGACACCAGATTTATCTCCATAAACCTTTTGTAGACAAATAGAATCGACTAACTTTACATTGTCGAGCGACATTTTGATAGCTCGTTACAGTTTGTAACGTAATTTGTTGTAATGTAAATTGATGAATTCATAAAAACAGGATTAACTTATTTTTATTTTTCATATGTTTACTATACTAATATTATAAAGAGGAAAGATTGTAGAAGATGTACTGGTGGTAGGACCTCTTGTGAGTCCGCACGGGTAGGTACCACCACCCTGCCTATTTCTGCCGTGAAGCAGTAATGCGTTTCGGTTCGAAGGGTAGGGCAGCCGTTGTAACTATACTGAGATCTTAGAACTTATATCTCGAGGTGGGTGGCGCATCTACGTTGTAGATGTCTATGGGCTCCAGTAACCACATTACACCAGGTGGCCTGTGAGCTCGTCCATCCATCAAAGCAATAAAAAAAAAAAAAAAAAGATTTGTTTGTTTGTTTGTTTCGAATAGGCTCCGAAACTACTGGACCGATTTGAAAAATTCTTTTTCCATTAGAAGCCGACATTGTCCCTGATGAACATAGGCTACTTTTTTTTAATTTTTTTATTATTTTTTTTTTTGGTTTCATGTGTGTTTTAATGTTTCCGAAGCGAAGCGAGGGCGGGTCGCTAGTATGTTTATAAAAACGCTCTTTTACACGTACAACTTTTAAAACTAGTTGTCGTCGTTCTTGTTTGGGTATTACTATAGGTAGCATTGTAGAATCTAATTTGTACATAACTGTGAGAGAAAGAACCAAACTAGCTGGATGTGGCACCTCATTTAATTCCACTTTTTTTTTATACCCTATAGCCTATTTTTACTTTCATTTTATTTCGTTTTTTTCCACTATTTTTACAAGAGATGGCTTTGGCTACTAAAAACAAAAGCTTGGCTGAATCGGAGTAGCTCCTTTTGTCTTTCCAACTGGGCACATCAAACATAGATTATAAACTTAATATTTGACTGTTGACATCAAACATGAAAAATGTTTGTACCTAGTTGTCACTTGTCAGTCTGTCACTGAATTTAGAATAAAATAAACAATATTATAAGTATTTAATACCTATGTTTAATACACATTAATTGTTAATGGAAATTCTCTCGTTAATATTTTTTATTCAACAGTTAAAATTTTTAGAACACTAAAACTTCAAATAAACACATTTATCTTTACACCCACATTTTAATATATTTGCAATATGTGATTTCCTGTAAAGCAGATAATTTAAAAATTGTGCTATCGTTAAACTCGTCGTCTAAGGAATTTTAAAAAATATGTATAAAACACACTACGCAAACCATTTTTGGTTTATTTTTATCACTTTTATTTTAGCAATTCAAGTTAAACCTTCTATGTCACAGTTTAATAGGGCTTGGAGCACTAAATATGAAAATAATAAGTGTCCCAAGCTATATCCTAAAAACTTCATTAATTATTTGCCCGTCGGTAAGTTTTCTCTTTATTCGTATCTTACAAGTTTTTTAAAACATTGCTTTACAAGTAGAAAGTAGCAAGACAAATTACTATTTACAACTATATATACGCTTTGTTAGTAATTATTAACTAACTTAACTTTAGCAGTATTGTTCATTCCTATAAATGGATATTAAAACCTAAAAAACAAAATTCCTAAACAAATGTGATTGCTGCCCTTGTACCTTGATATGACTGTGATTTAATTTTATTGTAATAATTATTGTCCCATTCTCTTCAAATTCAAAACAACTTTGTGCTTGAAATATGGTGGTGGTACTCACACATGCTGGTTCAAAACATCCTCAATAAACAGTAGTTAATCTTACAAAATTATCAATAAATATGTACATTACAAATAAAGAAAAAACATCAATGGTGAATCATTGTTAATCATTGTAATCAGTATGATCAAGTTGATTGACGAAAAGTTGATGAAAGTTGGAACAAATTTTTTTACTAACAACATTTATTATATATCCTCAGGTAATATAACTGCTGGAAATTTTACGGAAAAAATAGAACTTAAAGGTTTAAGGCAATGTGTCATGTCATGCTGTCTTACTGAAACCTGCAACATTGTCTTCATTGCTGATTCAAGATGCTACCAAGTGGAATGCGCTAGTGATGAACTTTGTCTACCATTACCCAGATCTGGACGAAAGTGGGACTCTCATGTGTCAATGATACTAGTGAAGCCAGTTTTACCTAATGGTAAGTTATTATTATTTAATTAGAACGGAGACTGAAATAAGCAATTGTTATTCCTTTTTACGTTTTTAATTAGAAAATAATCAGGAGGTATCAAATCACACCTTGAAAATCAATTAGGATAAGCCCATTTCTCAAAGCAAATAAATGCTGTAGTCTGCAGAAATAAATCTATAGGTTGGCAGATTACTTACTCAACTTGATGGTTGTACATGCCATAAAAATGGTAGTCTTCTGGGAGGCTCAATTTTGGGATCTACCAATGTATTTTTGTAATTGCTCTGATGGGTGGACGAGCTCATGGCCCACCTGGTGTTAAGTAGATACAGGACTCCGTGAACATCAACAACCTAAATGCTCCCACCCACCTTGAGATGTGAGTTTTATGTCTCAGGTTTATAGTAGAGTGGCTGCCCCACCTTTCAAACTGGAATGCATTACTGCTTCATATCAGAAATATGCAGAGCAATAGTACGAACCCACACAGGCTCAGAAAACACTCCACCACCGCTACTTGTGAGCTAACTTCAGTAAAGCTCGATAACAACTTGCAAAAAACAGCTCTTGACCTACAATCTATAACACTACTTATTGTATGCGTGCATTATGTATAATATGCCTAAATAAATAAATAATAAAATAAAATAAATAAATCTCACCCGCACATACATTTAATACAATTCTATCAATTTCAGGTTCAGAATTAACATAATTATCATACAGGATGTGAAATCTCGATAAAAATTTAAACTGGAACACAGCTCAATTTCCATATCCCATTAGTAATAATAATATAAAAACTTATGTTGACCTTTTGGATAATGATTATGAATATCATCTGGAACAATAAATAAGTTTATTAACAGTTTTCATTGCCATTCTACTTTTAATGTATAGTCCATATTAAATATCTCATAATTATTAGTAATTATGATTAGGATATTACGAAGGCGAGTAAATAACCCAAATATGGGAGCATGATGAAGTATTTAAAATAAAAAAAAGTGAAATGCTGCCCTTCTGAAATAAAATCAATATTTTGACAGCACAGTAAAATATGAAAACAGAGTTAAAGCATATTATAAACTGTGAGTTAGCTCACGTCTCAATTCTCATATTCCAATGAAGGGTAATTTTTTTTGAGCGCACTTTTAAAGTGTGAAGTTCACAATGATAGTTATATATATATATTCTTAAAGGATTCATTGTGATGGCTTGGTTAATATTATTTTAATTTATACTTACATTATAATAATAATAATAAATTGATGACATGTAAAGTTGAGAAAAATATTGCTAATAAGAAAGTTAACAGTAGCTTATGCCTTCCTGGAAGTTTTAATTGATCCTAGAAAGGTGACGTCACAAGTGTACACACCTAAAACTGTGTTAAAAGAGAAAAGAAAGAAAAAAATTCACATTCAGTGCTATGTTAGGGTTCATGACTCAATGTTTCTAATTTTTTTTTCCAGAAAATTGGTCTGACATTCTGGATCAGTCAAGTTACAGAGAAATCAGTAACAACTATTCTCCAGAGGAAGAACCGCTTTACACTCCTTACACAAGTCACCGAAACGATCTTCTAACTGATGAAAATACTGACGACTTTTTATCACATTTTATTAATAACTTACCCAACATGGACGATGAAGATACTAGAGGATTTGTCAAATATAGGGACAACGGTGATACTGACATGATAATGGATGCCACTGGCTACCTTGAAAAGATTTCTTGTGATGTTGGTGCCGGAGACTGTCCATTCAATGCTGAATGTGTACCTCTTGGATTGAAAACATCAAACGGCTTTTGTAAATGCATTCCTGGGACCGAAGAAAATTCTCAAGGTGCTTGTGTTAAGTCACTGCGACCGTTTTCTAAGGGACCAACTCTGCCAATGGACAGCTCTAAAAAGAGTGAGGGTACAGACACAAAGATGGAGAGCACGACGCCTAGAACAGTACAGACTCTGACAGTTTCGATTGTTTCAAAAACTGTGAGATTCCTCAATTTAAATACTTATATTTTTTTTGTGATTATTGAAGTCGAATAATAACGTAGCTAATAATATTTGCAGGTCCAATTGCCAGATAACGAAGTAACACTGGCGGCATATACAATACCCGACGAGAAAGCTACTATGAGCCATTATAATTACGTCTGGACACTCGTCGACCAACCTAAAGGCGGCTTCACTGGTAATAATAACATTGGCAAATATCAACATTAAATGATTAAGGATTAAAAACAGTATGCTAAAAACGATGCTCCTACTCGATTGAGACTATATCTTAACACGTTGACTGCCCCGTAGGTCACCGGTGTCCTACGCGGCGCACTGAAGTGATCATGTCGATTTCTCTCTTCTAACTTCTTATTAAGGCGCCGGAACACCTAGGAAACTACGGGAAAAATTAATCCGAAGGTGCTGAGAATGAATATATTTCTAAGAGACCTAAAAGACTAAAACATATCGTCTTCTCGCATTAAAACTGTATAATCTCAAAACTTACGAATTTTACAGGAGAGTTTTAAAGATTTAACATGTGATATTTTTAATAATAATCATTTTTGCAACATTTTTTATTCTTTATTTTTTTACCAGATACAGATACATTATCTGCCTTTTAAAGTAAGATAAAATAATGTATTAATTTTATTATAATAATAGTAGGCAAACTAAAACTAAACTACGCTATTTTGACAGTATTTATGAGAAAAAAACTGGACGCAAATAATTCCGCATATTAACTCAATTTCGAATATTTTTGGAAATTGTACACTTTTAATGCGAAAAGACGATATATTAACAAACAATAGAAGGCGAAGTTAGTCAATCCAGACGTTTAGTAACAGAAATCGACATAATTCGTTCAGTGCGCCACGTAGGACACCGGTGACCTACGTGCCATACCGTGGATTTTTTTTTTTTTATTAGATGGGTGGACGAGCGCACAGCCCACCTGTTGTTAAGTGGTTACTGGAGCCCATAAACATCTACAACGTAAATGCGCCACCCACCTTGAGATATAAGTTCTAAGATCTCGTATAGTTACAACGGCTGCCCTATCCTTCAGACCGAAACGCATTACTGCTTCACGGCAGAAATAGGCGTGGATTCCCAAGGACTCGTAGCATAATTAAGAAATAAATAAAAAAAACACGCTATTACCGGCACAATTTTTAACTATTATTGTTTCGAATTCAGGTAATATGAACCAAAACGGGGCTACGGTGACGTTAACGGACTTAACAGAGGGCCAGTATAGATTCAAGGTGGCGGTGAACGGTACCACCGTTTACGGCGAAGGGTACGCCAACGTGACCGTGCTGCCGCCTCACCGCACCAACACCGCGCCCCAAGCGGTCATCACGCCGCAGACGCAAACCATCAGATTACCTAATACTGTTGCCGTACTCGATGGAAGTGCCAGTAAGGTAATGAATATGGTTCGATAGATTTCATTAACAAAACAAATATAAAATTGTTAATCTATACATATAAATAAAATTAGTGTCTCTGTTTGTAATATTGAAATAGCCGCTTTTTACTACATGCATATGAATATATACGGTACATACACCAAAATAACATTATTTACAATTTTTGTCTGTCTGTTTGTTCCGGCTAATCTCTGGAACGGCTGGACCGATTTTGACAGGACTTTCACTGATAGGTAGCTGATGATATAAATAGTAACTTACGATACTTTTTTAAGACTAGCTTCGCCCCGCGGCGTCACCCGCGGTACGACAATAACCACGGGTAACATCGCGGGAATCAGCTATCAATAATAAAATTTAGTGTTTCCGAAACGAAGCGAGGGCGGATCGCTAGAAATATATTAATCTACAATGGTTTTTACGGATGTTCCGTTATAACTACTGAACCAGGCATCCGATTGACTTGAAACTTGGTATCCATGTAGAAAATACATGTACATAATGGATAGGCTAATATTTATATGAGTGTTGGACTTCCTACACTAGTTGCGGGGGCGTTAATGATGAGAATATTTGTAGGGGTGAGAAATAATAATGTTAATTTTAAATGCCCAGCAAAGCGGATGGTTACAGTGAGTAGTTAAAAAAACTAAATTTTTTTATTGCTTAGGTGGGTGGACGAGCTCACAGCCCACTTGGTGATAAGTGGCTACCGGAGCCTATAGACATCTACAGCGTAAATGCCGCTACCCACCTTGAGATATGAGTTCTAAGGTCTCGGTACAGTCACAACGGCTGCCCCACCCTTCAAACCGAAACGCATTACTACTTCACGCCAGAAATACGTGGGGTGCAGACTCACAAGAGGTCCTACCACCAGTAAAAACTAACTAACTAATTAAGTAACATACTTTTTGCATATAATATTATGCTACTCTATCATGGTTGTTCCAATTGTTTTTACTAATTTGCATAAATATTAAAATCAAGGTAAATAACGATTGGTGCGCATGAATTAGCCATCACTATTCACTATCACTTGAGTTTCCAAAGGTAATATATTAAAAATGTACTTTACATAAACTTATAATTAATTGTACCAATTGTAATAAATAAAAAAATAAAAACAATATGCTACTCTGTAAAAACATTTTTTATTTCTTTCAATTGCATATCAAACTACTATTAATATTATTATCTATTAATATTATTGTGCTCACCTGTTAAAACAAAGGAACGATATTTATGGTCTATTTTTATAATAAATTAATTCACAATACTAACTACAAATTAACTTCATATTTTTTCAACTCTGTCACCGCTATTTTATTGACATTCTACAATATTCTACATTAATTCGAACTGATTCTTATACAGCACAAGCGCGCCAAATTTTACTTTAAAGGAAGTAGGCCACTTTCTTTACATTAATATTCTTCTCTGTCGTGTCACTCTTGACAGAGTGGTCGTGATCGTCATGTAGTGTTGGAAGGGGCAGACTTGATGCGTCTCACGATGTCGCGCCATCTCTCCCTGCTCGAGGCCATTCTACTGCACTCATTTAGGGGACCTCCCACTGCAGTTTTAACTTGGTCGGTCCACCACATTAATATAAATTGAAAAAAAACATTAAAATTTTCGGAAATATTTAATTTTAATCTATTCAAGGACGACGATGTAATCATATCGTGGCACTGGGATCTAACATCGGGACCCATAGGCTACCAGCCTCCTCTCCAAGATGGCGCTACACTCGAACTAAAAGATCTCAAACAGCCCGGACATTACACTTTCAAACTGACAGTAGAAGATTCAGACCTCGTTAAGAATTCAACCACGGCCAACATTACCGTGCTGAATCACACGGATTATCCGCCGGAAGCTAATGCTGGTATGTTTAAATTGCAGGTTTATTTGCGTTATTTATGGTATAAAAATCATGGTGATTCGATTTCCGTATTCAAAAATAAAAAATGTCAATCTCTAAAACATTTTGTCACTTCCGTAAGTTCTATTAACTACGTTTTCTCCTATTACGTTTGTCTGTTAGAGAAATGCAATATAATTAATAATTACTATTTACATTTTAAAGTGAAAAATTTCACTCGCGACAGATTCGTTACAACTAGAGAGAAAAGATACAAATTAGGACGAGCGGGAGTGAGAAAATAGAACGTCTCGCGAACCACTCGACTCCGGAAAGAGGGAGAAAGCAAGCTAGGCCGTTTCTCTTATACACATTTTGTTTACAGGCGTCGGCCATTTAGATTGCTTGATTTTTTTTTTTTCCTAAATATGTTACCTCCGAAAACTCACTTTTACTCTGGGACCTTGCAGTGTGTGTCTTTTTATTTTTGTAATTAAATTATTATTATGATCTTTGTGATCACGTTACGTCATTGATACTATAATGCATTACTTAAAACCTACTCAAATTTGGTTATAGTAATGTTTAGCGCTCAAATACCTGACTATATTAAAAAAAAATTTTAATACGCATTTATTAGTTTGGTATGTACATGTTTTTATTTTATGCAACGGATCCTTTAAACGTCGTTTTCACCGACTTATAAACGTCCCATAAACTTGAAAAGTCATCAAGGAGCCATGACAATATAATAATTTAATAATTTCGCTCCAATATCTTGACCAGTAGTTATCAACAGAATAAAAAATTTATAACTTCATTCCAATATCAACGCAACGCTCTAGTATCAACAAGATAAAAACAAACATGAAATTACTTTACTAGTTCGGTTAGCTATTTAAGCGTGTTTCTGTTAGTTTTTAAACAAATATTTTTTTTTTCAATTTTCTGATAATTATTTTTAGGTCAAGACGTAATCATATATTTGCCCAACAACAATTTAACACTGAACGGCAGCCTGTCGACTGATGATCACGAGATCACATCCTGGGAGTGGACTAAATCCGCAAAAGACGAAAATAAAGCTGTGGACATGCAGAATACTCATTCACCCTATTTACAGGTTTATTTATTAATTAATATATTATATTTTCAATTTATAGAAAACATCCCCTTTTTTCCCTACCTATGCTGATAACCTTGAGAGGCCATTTTAGGTTCACCCTAACGTGTGTAGGTGAGCTCACGGGGCTGAAACCGGAGTGTTGCTAATGCTAACACTAGCCCTAGCAAGAACAGTGCTTCGCAGAATCTACCACCGGATCGGAAACGCGACCCACTGAGAAGATCCGGCGAGAAACTCAGTGGGCTGTGTCTATGGGTTCATTCGCTCGTCGAGCCCTTCATCGCAAGCGACGGGTTCGACGAGAACGGTGACCGGTAATATCCCCACTACGCCACCATAGTAGGGGCGAAGAAGCAAGTTCGAGGTTTCTATCCGCATAAATAGGTCAGGGTTCAGTAGATTAATCAAAGGACAATGCCCATTTTCTATGGGCGTTTGGGCCCCTAAAAAAAGTTGTCCTGTCATGATGGTTTTAACTTAATTTGATAGACAAAGAAATATCGTTTCATATTCAGAAAACGATTTTTATATTCTCACCCAGGTTTAAGAGAAATCTGTTTTTTTCTGCAGCTACAATTAAGTTGTTAATTGTTTTCTTCGAAATCAATAATCACTCTCATAATTATTTACAGTATTAAATAAGTTAATTGTGGTTAATGTTGCTAGAAATAAGCCCTTACGTAGATTTTATTATTATTATATCCTCATAATAATAATAAAATGAAATGAAAATCCGGAAGCCGGCAACGATATTGTTGTTGTTGTTTTTAAATTCACCAATAAGCAGGCAAACAGCGTAGCCTATACAGCCTAGTCTGTCGAAGTTATATATTTTTTATGTCAATAAAAAGCCGGTGTATCTCTTTTTAATGCTTTTGGGTAGTTTTGACATCAACTCGACGAATACCACATTGACTGAGCATAAGTTTACGCAGACCTTTTATACACAATATTACAAATACAAATAATACAAATTACACAATAAACTATTAAAAAAACATTAAAATAAAAATTCAAGTGACGCTTCACTCGGGTTGCTGCCAAAACTCTCTGATCATATATAATAAGAATAGAGTAATGGTAGGCCATTGATATTTTTACTAATGGAATCATTAATATCTAAAAATATTAAANCAATAAACTATTAAAAAAACATTAAAATAAAAATTCAAGTGACGCTTCACTCGGGTTGCTGCCAAAACTCTCTGATCATATATAATAAGAATAGAGTAATGGTAGGCCATTGATATTTTTACTAATGGAATCATTAATATCTAAAAATATTAAATAATTCATGGTTTTAAGTAATAATTATTATTACAATATATAAATATTGAATTGAACAAAAATAAACTAAGAAGCCTCTGAATTATAAGCATTAGCTAAATTTTTTTATTTGTTGTTCAAGTCACAAACAATTCTTTCGTTTGACAGCATATAGGTTTGCTATAAGGCTGTATGGGCTAAGCCCGTTGCCTATTGGCGAATTTAAAAACTATGGCATGGATAGTTTTGGGATGTTATCAAATAAGTAAATTATTTTTTTGGAAAACAATGCCAGGTTGAAAGAAATGTTGATACATAAAGTAAACAACGTGAATAAATAAGGCATAGTTTTTCAAGTACAAATAGTTTTGACATAAAGTTGGCCCACTTTTGGGCATTGTCCTTTATATCCATGATCTGCTTATATTTGCCCTTAAGTATTCAAATAGTTTAAAACGTGGCTCCATCGTTTAAGTTTCGATGGATAGTTTTAATTAAGGTAATGTTTCCGACTGATTTTTTTTTCAGAATTTATGGCCTAGTAACGAAGTCTTAGTCTTAGTTTTCTTCTTACATTCGGGTATATAAGAAAAAATGTATGAAACGAAATGAGATGAAGTTGATTGATTTGAAACTTTCATCAATTGAAGTCAAATTGGCTTGGCTCTGCCCCTAGCATTGCTGAAAACCATGGGCGACGGTAACCATCAGGTGGGCGTATGCTCGTCTGCCTACAAAGGCAACAAAAAAGGGGGGGATAAAATTAAATATAAATTCAGTAAAATGGTGGTTACTTACTGAGACTTCTTCAGTGAACTTTTTGGAAGAATTCAAGAAGCCTATTAACGGTAGGCAACGACTCAGCTCTGCCTCTGATATTGTTGACGTCCATTAGTGACGGTAACCACTCACCATCAGGTGGGTCGAATGCTCGTCTGCCTAGAAGAGCAATAAAAATATAATTAAAACTACGCCCAGCTGCTTATACTACCTAAACGTTGCTAAGTTGATAGGGCTATGGGAGTTGGAGGCGGAGTCGCTCGCTGCCGACTATCGGTGGCGCAGCGAGCTTCGTGTTCGGGGCGTGGGGCGTGTCCCCGAAAGTGAGCTGCGGGCGCGGAAGGCCCATTCTCGGCGGTCCGTGCTCGAGTCGTGGTCGAGGCGATTGGCCAACCCCACGTGGGGGCTACGGACCGTCGAGGCGGTTTACCCGGTCTTTGATGACTAGGTGAATCGTGGCGAAGGACGTCTCACCTTTCGTCTGGTGCAGGTGCTGACCGGGCACGGATGCTTTGGGAAGTACCTGCGCTGGATAGGGGCTGAGCCGACGACGAGGTGTCACCATTGTGGACACGACCTGGACACGGCGGAGCATACGCTCGCTGTCTGTCCCGCTTGGGAGGTGCAGCGCCGTGTCCTGGTCGCAAAGATAGGACCTCACTTGTCGCTGCCTGGCGTCGTGGCGTCGATGCTTGGCAGCGATGAGTCATGAAAGGCTATGCTCGACTTCTGCGAGAGCACCATCTCGCAGAAGGAGGCGGCGGGGCGAGTGAGGGAAAGCTCTCCTCACTACGCAGAAACCCGCCGCCGCCGAGCAGGGGGTCGGGACCGGGGTCGTATCCGTGACCTGGCCCCCTAAGAGCTAGGGGTCCCACCCGTTTTGTGCGGGGAGAGACCCAGACGTGGGGTGGCGTGCTTTGCACGCTCACCCGCAATAGGAAGCCGGGTGATGGCAGACCGCGTTCCCCCGACCGCTCTGGGGGAAGGTGTAACGCGGCGCCATCAAAGCGGGCTCTCGGCCCGCTGAACGAGGGAACCGGTGGTCGTGTCGCTGGCGGCCACCGGTCCGGCGTCCGTGGGACGGTGGGATGGATGTAATGTGCTCTGCGTCAACCCTGTCCCGCCGNAGGTGTAACGCGGCGCCATCAAAGCGGGCTCTCGGCCCGCTGAACGAGGGAACCGGTGGTCGTGTCGCTGGCGGCCACCGGTCCGGCGTCCGTGGGACGGTGGGATGGATGTAATGTGCTCTGCGTCAACCCTGTCCCGCCGTTTCAATAGCCCCGACTGGGCTCCGGCCCGGTCCGAGGTAGGGCGCCGGTTGTGAGCAGCAGGAGTTTTTAGTGAGGTTCAACTCCCACATACCCCACATGCCGCGCGGGTGGGGATCCGGCGATTAAATCCTGTGGGAAAAAAAAAAAAAAAAGTTGATAGGGCTATCCCTTTCTCGCAATGAGATTTGTAGTAACAAATTCCGTAGGTTTTTTTATTGTCGCCTTTTTTATCTGACAACGGAATCTTAACACACGAATCAAATGTTTCTTCTTCTTCTTTTTCTTCACCTTATCCCACTAGGTAGGGTCGGCACAGCTAGATTTTCTCTTCCATTCTCTTCTATCAGCCGTCAGATCAACACTCACTCACGAATCAAATGTACCATGAATATTTTTTCGTAAAAAAAAATTATATTTTTGTTTTGTTGACAGTTGTCAAACTTGTCGGAGGGAATGTACACGTTTGTATTGAAAGTAACAGATTCATCAGGGCAATCGTCCGCGGCGGAAGTTCACGTATTCGTGAAACCTCCAACTAACACTCCGCCTATAGCCGATGCCGGACAAGATGCTGTAAGTAACACATTAAACATAATAGCTAGGACATTGAAATCAATACTTCATCCGTATTTCTAATCTTATTTTTTTGTCTCTATTTTTAGAGCTATATACTACTGATGAACTGAATCTTTTGAATCGAATTTTTACCAATTTTTTATTTAATTGTAAGTTTATTTGTAAAAAGTTATGTGAGTATTTTTGATACGGTTAAAAATAGTCCGATTCTCAATTCCTAATATGTTGTAATGAAATAGAAGAAGCATGCAAACGGCATGATGGTGTTAATAAATTATAACAAAAATTGTTGTTGTAGTAAATTGTAAATAAGTGTGTGTTTTATTAACTCACCGGATTCAGGACTATTGTGGCGTCTTCAGTATTTAACCAGTTTCACGAAAGTATAATAATAAATACAGAGTGTAACAAAAAATATGCTCCTTAATGATGTTATTTAGACGTTCCTTTGCATGCAATGTAACTTTAACTGTGAACTTAAATGTAACTAAAATCACATTAACAACTTCACACAGCCGAGAACCGAACGTTATTATTTGATGGCCGCTATATAAAATACAGAAGAGTGAATCATATTGGCTCATTATCAATTTTACGATAAATGTTAGTAAATTTCTAAATTAACTTATAAATATAAAAAAAATACAGTAGGATTTTCTTTGATTTTCGTGAAACGTAGACATGACCAGATCTACTATGACAGTTTCATTTCGCATTCAACATGTTTATTGGTTTAAATTGAAAACAAAAAATTGTAAATAACTTCATGAAATTTTCTGGATTAAGAGTAAATTGTTTTTTTGCGAACTCTTCTCTTTTGTATCGGACAGTTTTTTTTTTTTGCTCACTGTACATGATACGTCATGTTACAATACGGACTTGTGGTTTTTGATCGCTGCTCTGCGAGTACGTATCAGATAAATGAGTTACGGTTACGGTATTCAAACTAACAACTTGCATGCAAATGTTTTTTTTTTATTGCTTAGTTTGGTGAATGAATTCCCGCCCCACCTGGTGTTAAGTAGTTACTGGAGCCCATATACACCTACAACGTAAATGCCGCCACCCACCTTTGAGATATAAGTTCTAAGGTCTCAGTTACAACGGCTTCCCCACTCTTCAAACCGAAACGCATTACTGCTTCACGGTAGATATAGGCGGGGCGGTGGTACCTACCCGTGCGGACTCACAAGTGGTCTTACCACCAGTAAATACGCAAATTATAATTTTGCGGGTTTCATTTTTACTACACGATGTTATTCCTTCACCGTGGAAGTCAATCGTGTGAAAATTTGTTAAGTACGTATTGCATTAGAAAAATTGGTACTTGTCAGCGGGATTCGAACACCGTTGCATCGCTCAACACGAACGCATCGGACGTTTTATCCTTTAGGCCACGACGACTTATAAAATGTGACTTGCAGTTCATATCGTTGCCCCAAACTTGGGTCGCGCTGAACGGGTCCGCGTCTCGCGACGACCACCGCATCGTCGCGTACACGTGGCGCTGTCTCTCCGGCCCCACTAACTCGAACATTGTGAACTTTAACGAGTCGATCGCGAACGCTACGGGCCTCACGAAAGGACAGTACGTCTTCTCGTTGACCATATTAGACGATAACGGTAATCCGGCAACGGACAATGTCACTGTCAACGTTGCACAAAGTAAGTGTAGTTTTGTTTCCAATAGTATAGCAGTAAGTTTCATCTATATAATTTGTTTCGTAGCATTAAATTTTCGGCAATAGCTTAATACTATCATCAGCCCGCTGAGTTTCTAGTCGGATCTTCTCAGCGGATCTCGATTCTGATCCAGTAGTAGATTCATTAGCGAAGCAGCTGCTCTTGAGCTGTTAGGTTTCCTTTGGAGGCGCTCGGGCAGCTGTTAGCAAATCCCATCCCTTTTGTTGAAACTGGAAAGGCCTTCGGGCCACCAGTAAATCTACTTTCATAAAAAAAAAGGTTAATACTAGTGCATTTTTTCTTTAAAATAACTTTTTTGTGACATACTTCATTAGTATAACCAAAGACCCTAATATTTTAAATAAAAACTTTAAGCCTGGTTCTACATGGTCTAATCTGGTTTAATCTCGTAATTATTTCATTCATTAACAACGTGTTCATTGTTGTGTGCTAATGTCTTTTAATTTAATAGTAGAACTTTAATATAAATAAATAAAAATCGACTTCAAGGATGAAATTTATGTTAATAATTGGACTACGGCGAGAGAATGTCTTATAAACAAAAAATTTATCCATAAGCGAGTAAAAATGATTATACTTTAAATGTAAACAGTTGAATATAGAATCTCCTACTTTTTTAAATCGGTAAAATCAATTGGAAATCAACCCGGTCTCATTGGTATCCCCTATGTTATATATTTTTTCTTTAAATGGGACCTACCATTTTTTTTTGGCATTAGATTGTCATGTATGTACACACACAGAATCAATATTTATGAAATAAAGTTTGTAAAATAAATTGAAACTAGAAACAAATTCAGAGATAAGAAGCTAAACTACGTAGAAGTTAAGCAATTCGAATTCAACACACCCGCATATCGTTCAAGCGATTTGAATTCTATCTTTATTCAGTAACTGCAGATATATTTTGAAAATTACGTAATATCTAGTAAATATTAACATAATGGCACACAGAATAAGCCTGTTGTTTAAGGAGGAATTCACCATTAAAGCTTAATAATTAATAAAATCATTTAAAAAATTCACGCCCATTATATATTTTCTAAATTTTTTCTAATTTTTAACAGTTATCCATTCGTGTTGAAGAAGCACAAATCGATTCTTTAAAGATACTTTAACATATAATTGGCTTGTGAATTTAAAATCGAAAAATAACTCTAAACGAGCTCCCTTCGATTCCTTTTAGAATAAAAAAAATAATAATTCAGTATTTAATATCGTCGAACAGATAAAAATAGTCCGCCCAAGGCAGACGCTGGCGGTGATAAAGTACTAAACCTCCCGGTTCCTGTGCTTATATTAAACGGATCAAGATCATCAGACGACTTCCGTATCGTCTCGTGGAAGTGGGCCAGGTCAGGCTCCGGACTCGCTGCCGGAACTGTTATATTGGATTCAGATACGCAACCAGTTTTGATGGTAAATATATTTAAACATAACAAAAATATCTTGTACAATCGAGCTATGAGTGAGAATTAGATGAACTGAAAATATTTATTATTTTTTTATTATAGTATCTTAATTTGAGAATTATATTTACGTATGTATATAGGGTGTATTGTGAAAACGATTACAAACAGTTGATCGTATTAAAATACCATCACCCCGTTAGTGGGTGTCTTAAAATCCCACTAAAAGATTACTAAAACATCATCGTCTATGATAAACTCCAACTTTGATAAAATGCTTTTTAGTTCAGTACCCATAAAACTTTATATGATTGTTAAGAAACTTTTGATTAATATACATCAGTGGTCGTCAACTCGTGGCTCTTTGACTCCTCAGCTACGGCTCTTCCACGAAATGTGTAGTTTAGGCACGGAATATTACATACCTTGCCTCGTAAGAGACGAGTAAAGATTTTTGAAACGCGAGGTTATAAAAATATATTTAAAAAGAAATGGCTCTTTGAATAAATTTCAATAGTGTCTTATCTATATTGGGCTCTTTTGAGTGACAAAGTTGCCGACCAATGGTATTTATGTCAATATGGTAGTTACCGGATTGTGGTCTGGTAACGTTTTTTTTAGTATTATACTAACACACTACGACCGCCAAACGGTGTCTCTACCGGAAAGTAATCGGGCATTCCCGTTTGAACAGTATTGAACGTAAGAGAGATTTTGATGCTTCAAAGATGCCATGAGTTGTTGCTAGCATTCACATTGTGATATCTATAAACTTCACTCACTTCGATCACGATAAATGACAGCATCAGTGAACCAGTCTGTTCGTCTATAATAGTAACAAAGGTGCTGGTGTTTTCTGGTATGAAAACACAAAAAAGTACAAATTAAAAAAAGGATTGCGTGGTTTTATGAAACCCCGGTAAAAGTGAAACTTATTTCACATTAAAGACATTTAACTATGACAAACAACATTTACATTAAACACTGACAAAAAAAAACAAAATAGCTTGGAGCACTGGCACAAATGAGTAATAGTCCATACACTACACGGTCAGCTGCTGCGAAAAATAATGACAAAGCTTCTCTGTACATTGTGGCTCAACAAAATATGCTCTACAATACTCTAAATTACAAGCATTACTGCTAAACGGAACTGCTAAACAACTAATCGACAATTGGAACGACTTTACACTCTAAATTAAGTTTATTAATCTACACAGTATAACTAAAGCGTGTGATGTTATGTGACAGCTCACAAATATAGAAGCGGGGCGCTACGTGTTTGAACTGACGGTGACTGACGACCAAGGCGAGTCGGACAGGGACACTGTCAGTGTTCAAGTCAAACCGGACCCGCTCGAGATGAGCCTGCTTGAGATGACTCTGAATATCCCGGTATCTACATTTACGCAAGGACAGTTGGACTCGTTGGTGCAAAAAATGGCTCTGCTCTTAAAAGGAGACGTCAAGATGAACGTAACAAAAGTATTCGGACAAGTCGACTCCGGGAATACACAGCTGATATTCTTTCTAACTGAAGACGTGAGTAGAATCTTCTTCTATTCTGTACGATGCTTAGTTTTTAAAGAATAGTCCTAGTAAAATATTTCAAATGGATTAACCATAGTACAAAATTGGAGTTAATAATAAATAAACAACACAATTGCCTGTTGGTTTAGACACGCAACGTCCATAGTGGGTTAACCGATTAAGTTCTGGTTTTGATGGTGTCGAGAAAAGCTAGGGCGAGTATTTGAACTCCATTGGTCTCTGGTTACGCTTTGAGGGTGCTTTTAGGTACCTCAAGCACCGATCACCGTTCTCGTCGAATCCAACTAACCCATAGACACAGCCCACTGAGTTTCTCGCCGGATCTTCTCAATGGGTCACATTTTCGATCCGGTGATACATTCTTCGAAGCACTGCTCTTGCTAGGGCCAGTGTTAGCAACACTTCCTGGTTTAGCCGCGAGAGCACACCAACACGCCAGGGTAACGCTAATATAGCCTCTTAAGGCTATCAGCATAGGAAGGAAGAAAAAAACCTTTTGAGTGTTTATTGATTAATACAACGACAAGCTCTTATTTCTATCACAACGCAAACTTCCATTTCTGTTTGGACGGTTTGATAATGTTAGCTTCAAAGAATCTTAGATACGTCAATACCGATAATACTTCTGGCAGAATAAGGTGATGGAGGGTATACGCGCGTTGACGCTGTCCCGGGGCGCGGCTCGTGCGGGCGCGTTCGGCGGCGCGGCACGGGTGCGGGCGCTGCGCTGTCTGAGCACGTGCTCGGGGCGCGGCCGCTGCGACCGCACCGACCACACGTGCCGCTGCGACGCCTTCTGGATGCAGAGCCTCTTCACGCAGCTCGACCCCGACGCCATGCCTAATTGCGGTCAGTCTTTTGGGTTTTTTTTTTATTGCTTAGATGGGTGGACGAGCTCACAGCCCACCTGGTGTTAAGTGGTTACTGGAGCCCATAGACATCTACAACGTAAATGCGCCACCCACCTTGAGATATAAGTTCTAAGGTCTCAGTATAGTTACAACGGCTGCCCCGTCCTTCGAACCGAAACGCGTTACTGCTTCACGGCGGAAATAGGCGGGGTTGTGGTACCTACCCGTGCGGACTCCCAAGAGGTCCTACCACCAGTGATTACGCAAATTATAATTTTATATATAATATTAGTTCTAATGTACCGTCCTGGATTTAACTAAACGGACCAATGATGTGTTTTAAACATTATGGTATCATGAAAAACGATCGACTCAGTAAATTATTTTACATTACAATATTTCATACAAATAAATATTTAAATGATACGGAATTAAATATTTTTAATAACAATTATTTACCGCATTACCCGCATTACCGCGATAAAGTACAGTTGTGTTTTAATGTAGCTCCAAATATTAATTCAAATTCTGTTCCTAAAGTGTCTGAGCTCATCAATTATGCACATATTATAGTTAATTTGCTGTGTAGTGATACAAATACAGTGTATATATGACATCGAGTGCCGGGAATTACATCTATAAAAGGAAATTATTTGAGTGATTTTAAACAATNAACCTAAAAAAAAAAAAAAAAAAAAAAAAAATTATAAAATAACTAGCTCACCCGGCAAACTTCGTAATGCCTCAATCGATAAATAAAAGACCTAAACTTTTGTATCAAATAAACTTAAAACAAACAAAAGGAATCCGTACGACGGGGGGGACATCAACGGAAAAACAAAATTGTTATTTTTATTTATTTCTGGGCATTTTCATATTAATATCTGTATCATATCTACTGGACTTTACAAATAATTCAAGACCAAAATTAGCCAAATCGGTCCAGCTGTTCTCGAATTTTAGCGAGACTAACGAACAGCAATTCATTTTTATATATATAGATAAAGAATGCCGCCGAAACATTAGGATGATGTTAATGTATCTCACGATATCTACTAACATCAGTTTCTCGTCGGGTCTTCTCAGTGGGCTGCGTTTCCGATTCGGTAGATTCTGCGAAGCACTGCTCTTGTTAGGGCTAGTGTTAGCAACGCCCTCAACTTAGAGCCCCGAGAATTCACCTACTCGCTCGGTTACGCTGACATAATCTCTCAAAGCCTAAGTAAAAAAAAAAGCACGATACAATGAACCCTTGCAGACTGGTCGGTGGTGTACGCGAGCCTGGGCGGCGTGGCGGCGCTGTGCGCGGCGGCGGCGTGCTGCTGCGCGTGCGTGCGCGCGTGGCGCCGCGTGTGTGCGCCGCGCAAGCCGCGCGCCCGCCCCAAGTACCGCCTGCTGCCGCTCGCAGACCACGAGGAGAAACCTTGTAAGTCTCCCCGCCCTATTCTATACATGCTTTAAGCTGCTTTCAGACTAGACCATACTATAGTGTCATATAGTGTAGCAACGTATACTTAGCCAATATAGCTGTACCCGTCCGCTTCGCTGGGCATTTTAAATGAACATTATTATTTCTCACCCAACAAAAATTCTCATCATTAACGCCCCCGCAACTGATGTAGGGAGTTCAACAATCATATAAATATTAGCCTATCCATTAAGTACATGTATTTTCTAGGTGGATACCATGTTTCAAGTCAATCGGATGAATGGTTCAGTAGTTATAACGGAACATCCGTAAAAACCATTGTAGATTTATATATTAGTATAGATATATATGTATTTTTTTTTTATCGCGTAGATGGGTGGACGAGCTCTCAGCCCATCTGGTGTTAAGTGGTTACTGGAGCTCATAGACATTTGCAACGTAAATGCGCCACCCACTTTAAAATATAAGTTCTAAGGTCTCAAATATAGCTACAACGGCTGCCCCACCCTTCAAACCGAAACGCATTACTGCTTCACGGCAGAAACAGGCAGGGTGGTAGTACCTACCCGCGCGGACTCACAACAAGTCCTACCACCAGTAAACTCATAAATAATATATAGTACAGTACAGTGTAAACGTGTCCATAACAATGTATGGTGTGCGATATTGTTGTGCTGTGAGCTATATACTATATGTTATTATATTATAGCGTAGTCTGAAAGCGGCTTTATTGATGCACGTGTACAGACTTATTCGTGTAAAACTTGGGTAAAACTTAGGAGGGTAATAAGTTAATAAATCATCAGTGTGGAGGTATGCTGATTCAAAAAAAAATGATTAATTTTTTTTTTTCGAAATCCTCATGGAAAAACTTTCGAAAAGGTGTCAAAAAACGCCTGTAAAAATTAGAGCTCTTAATATTAATATTAAGAGGTCGCGCATCGCAGATTTCTATTTCCTATTTAAATAACAAGGAAAAAAATATTTTTGAATTTCGGAATTTTGTAACTCTTAAACCGCTTTATGAACTGCCAAACCAAAAAGTACTTTTATAGGAAATTTAAGGCTCTCCAAAAAAGGTCTCCACAACGTTTTCGATAATCCTACCCATTTCGAAGTTATTCGTGGTCAAAGTTATATTTACAAAAAAATTAGAGGTTTTTTTTTTGATAATATTATTAATATTTTTTCCAAAATTTATTTCATAGTGTGATTTAATAATTAGAAGAGTGTTTTATGTCTTTTTTATGAGTAATTGTGTCAGAAAAACTTTAGTTTAGGCGCTTTTTATCGTAACACTCAACTGACATAAATTTTCATAAAAAAAAAAAAAACCAACTGTAGCCTATTTACAAATGATGTGCGAGAAGTGCACTTTTTTACCGACATAACCAATAAGTCACATGTTATGATTTTACTTCACACTGTATTTCATTGTTTTAAGCCTTTATCTCCACATTTCTTCGGATATTGTAATCTAATCGAATTGGAGTTATTTAGCTATTAATTTTCTCATCAAGTTAATTTAACGTAATCTTATGTAACTAAACTATTTATTGAAGTAATTATTGAAAGAGATGACCACTAAAAGGCAAAATTTTGAATAAAAGATTAATAATATTATCAAAAAAAAAAAACCTGTCATTTTTTTGTAAATATAACTTTGACCACGAATAACTTCGAAATGGGAAGGATTATCGAAAACGTTGTGGAGACCTTTTTTGCAGAGCGTCAAATTTCCTATAAAAATACTTTTTGGTTTGGCAGTTCATAAAGCGGTTTAAGAGTTACAAAATTCTGAAATTCAAAAAAATTTTTTTTCCGTATTTTTTAAATGGGAAATAGAAATCTGCGATGCGCGACCTCTTAATATTAATATTAAGAGCTCTAATTTTTACAGGCGTTTTTTGACACCTTTTCGAAAGTTTTTCCATGAGGATTTCGAAAAAAAAAAATTAATCCTTTTTTTTGAATCAGCATAGTGTGGAGTTTGTATGGAGTTGAAGAAGTTTCCATTCGTTTATCGCTAGGGGCGCTGTTCCAACTGTAGGTGGACGAGCTGACGGCTCACCTTGTGTGAAGTGGTTGACGGAACCTATAGACATCTACAACGTAAATGCCGCCACCTACCTTGAGACATAGTTCTAAGGTTTCAGTTTTTACAGTACAACGGCTGCACCCTTCAAACCGAAACGCATTACTGCTTCACGGCAGAAATGGGCAGGGTGGTGGTAACTACCCGTGCGGACTCACAATAGTTCCTACCACCAGTAAATTTCATGTCTCTAGAGGAATTACTGTATTCACATTATGATATCTAAATTGGTTCTGGCAATCGTTTATACGCACGTGGAAAGGAGCTCTTTGACCCATCTACATACAAATGAAATAAAAACATGTGTGCAATTCACACGTGGTAGAAGTGAAACCTTCCAAAATTAAAATACAATTATCCTAAACGTCTTAAGTATATGTAAAATTTTGTCATTAGTAAATAATTGTAAGGTAGCGCCCTCTGTGAATTGATATTTTAATTTCACGTATAATCCTAAATTAAAATTCACTACAAAGGCTTTCATACACACGTTAGTATTAAAAAATCTCACAGATGGCGCTGTATTAAATAGTATGTATATTTCTGTCTCATTCATCCTACACATTTTTGTATTTGTGTCTCTTACCTGTCGTTTTTTCCGTTGCATCCGGTTTGAAATCACAACGATTCTAAAGAAGTTTTCACTTCAAAAACCTTAAATATATTCACTGTTGATTACGATATTTTCAGTTTTGTCATGTTAGCATAGCACATTACATATTTAATATGCAACTTTCAGTTACGAGCAGAGACATGTCCGACACAGAAACAGAGTCGGACGTTCTCTTCGAATCGAAAACGAAAACGTCATCGTTTTCAACGCGTGCCTTGAACGGGGAGCCGCAGGCTAACGGCTGGAAGAAGAACGGACATTACAAGGGATCGAGGAAAGTCAAAACATAGTTCAAAGCCAATGTCAGTTATTCACAAACAGAACAGCGTTGTAGGTAAGACTTTTTTTGCTAAGTTAAGATTTTGATTTGTTCCTTTTTTTTTCGAATCCTGTGGGCTTAGTGCGAGTTTTTTAACTTCTCGATCGCGTAAAAGTTAACTCAAATTTGTATGGAGTTGGAACAGCGCCCCTAGCGGCAAACAAAGGGAAACTGTTCCAACTCTTTAAAGTTGAAGGTGAAGTTAAAAAAACTCGCACTAAGCACACTGAATGGGATAGCAACAAAAAGTATTACTATTTTATATAGATAGTTATGTCTAACTTTGATAATAAATTCTAATCCGTCTGGAGTGCGTCTAATGACGGCTGTCTTTAAAAATTTGGAAAAAAGTATCATTGTATAATTAATAATAATAAAAATCTGAAATCAGACAATAGTGTTGCCAGCAAATTATACTTCTGTTGATTGTATTTACACAAACTAGATTTTTTTAATCATTGATAACACCTTATTTATCTTAATCTTTTTTGATCAATCTAAATGTTAGTATTCCATAAATATTAAGTTCCTATAAAAAGTAAACTAAGAATACAACGCTGTTATTATGTTTGTGGCTAATGGACGTTTAAATAATAAGTAAATAAATGTGTATTAATAAACCCTAAGGTATTTTAGTCGACATGCTTAGAACGTAAAAAGATCAAAATGTATAATGATTAGCACCGATACGTTCTAGTGCATTGATTGGTGTTGAAACATGAATTAGCATTGTAATTGTAGTGAAATGATTGGTAATAAATACTGTACAAAGCAATTTTCTTTTAACAAATACACTTGTGTTTTTTAAATATTTGTTCAAATTAAATCTATCTTTGCTGTGCCCACACTCTCTGTAACAGATGTGAAAGAATAACGACTAATATTTTATGTGAAATTTGATTTAGGAAACCATAAAAAAAACCTAAATAGTGTGAATAAAATGGAACAAATTTTTTTTTTTTATTGCCCTTGTAGGCAGACGAGCATACGGCCCACCTGATGGTGAGTGGTTACCGTTGCCCATGGACTTCAGTAATGCCAGGGGCAGAGCCAAGCCGCTGCCTACCGAAATTTTTTGTATAATTGTATTAAAATTCAGAATTCAAATTCCCAATAATAGTGTCATTTACCTTTTTTTTTTTTCTGTTAGGAATAATTTTTGAATAAGGTAGAAAAGTTGCACATTGTTTTGTATCATGATAGAAAATATTTTCCAGATTCCGATACGTACATTTATGACAAACTATAATCAAAGTATATTTGTTAAAATAAGCAGAAGTGTGTTGCCAAAATCGGATTTTTTTTTTCCATAATTGAAATATACAAAAGTTCGTAACGCACATGAGTGATTGATCACACATTACCGCATAACAATATAAACTGATAATTCAATTAAAACCAATCATACTAATAAAACAGTTCTCGTTTTGAGTGGCATCCCTGCAATATTTTTCCACTACTCTATCCTTACTCTCTTCACTCTACTACATATGGATAGACATTTATATCTGCTTTTTATTAGGAAATATGATATATAGATAGATATCGACTAGTTTGTGAATCGTGGTTGGAAGCTTAGGTTTCAAACCTAAATAAAATATTTTACAAAGTAACCTAAGTGATTGACTTAGAAAATATTAAATAAGAACTATTTCTAAACAGTATTCTAGTCGTTATACTTAATTTTTAAATATGTAATAAGTAAAATAACTACAAAACTAATATTAAGTATAGGCAATTAAAGTCATTTTGTATTTGTTATTTTTGAGCTTCAATTGTATTTTATTATTTAATCATTAAATTAAAATTATTAAACAGGTATTTTGTTGCTTGAAAATATATTATTTTTGCCAATAATTGAAGTGTTTTATTGTTTTTTAATTATTAATGGACAGATTGTGTTTTTTCCTGCTTATTCGCTGGTAGTCTAAGAGGTTGTTCCGCTAGGCAAGGACGGGTAGGTGAGCTCGCATGCTCAGCCTGAGATAATTTGCTAACACAAGCCCTAGCAAGAGCAGTGCTTCGCAGAATCTATCATCAGATCGGAATCGTGACCCACCGAGAAGATCCGGCGAGAAACTCATTTGGCTGGACCTCGTATCAAACCGTTATTGACTTCTACCTACAAACCAGAGACCAAAACTGAATTTCTCTGTTCGCTATGAAACGAAGTCAAATCCATAATTAAACAATATTTAATCAAATGTTCCCGGTTCAGTGCACTCGTGAAACTATTCACCTACTTAGCGTACCCAAATTGTGCATATCGCTACATATTTCATTTTATTGCTTAGATTCTTAGATAAAATATGAACGATCTTCACACCCGGTGCAGTGCTTATACGAGTCCAAAACATTTCAACGTTAAAGCCGCTATCTACCTTAAAATATGGGGTCGAAGTTCTATTATACATATTATTATAATACTCCATTAACACTACTGCCCATTCTCCGGTGAATCCCGTAATCGCCACTGCATGAGATAGGAAGGCGTTATCATGTGTTAAACTTCCAAAATTATATTCTATTTATTATTAGATATCTCACAGTCCGTTTTGGATGCCGCTTCATGTGCAACCCAGACATAAATACTACGTTATTATATGAGTAAAAACAGGTAGAAATGAAACAATCGGTTTTTTTATGAATACTTTTTAATCATAAAAGTTGATAAACACAGCTTTGTAACAGAACTTAGCAACTTGAACACTTCGTTTTAGTTAATTTAGGCAAAGAGGCACTCGACTGTAATCTAGACGATTATGCTAATGCTATTCTAAATATTTCCATTACATTCGCAGTTTCAACAACCCTAGGTACTACATTAACCAATTACCTTTTTCGATTAGGATAGTAAAACGACAATCCTCTTGTTACCAGTTACATTTTTTAATCCCCGGCCTATATCCGATTGTATATTATTTTCCAAAGAGAACAGAGAGAAAACAAAATGAAATTATAATAGGAGCTTAAAATGCATTCGCAATTCAATTGTGTATTTTTCAAACAGTACTTAAATGTCAAAGAGCATGCATCAGTTACTAGGTGTTTTGACCTTGTGACCTATTCACATCAATTCATACAACAAAACTTGTAATTTAAAAAAAGCATTATAAAGTATAGTTGTTGCAAAGTCCGACTGCGCGCCGCCCTTAGTTGCGTGATCGATCTGTATACGCGTCAATGTAGGCGTGAGATCACGTACGGTTAGCAAACAAAAAATCATTAATTCAAGTTATGGATTTCACCCATTTTTATAATTTAAGTATTTTTTTTAATTTACTTATTAGGAGTGGTCAAAAAGAAAAAACTGTTCACTTTCATAAAATTACACTCTTCTTGAAGAAAGTGGTACACGCGGGTATTAATGGCACGTCCCTGGAAACACTAAATAAATATTTTTAATTGATAGGTATTTTTTTTAGAAGACTTCGTTTTCGAGAAAAAAATTAAAATACCAGACGCGTTCCACGAACCGAACTTTATCAAACTCGAAATCTACCTTTGCATTTCCTCCGCTGCGGGAATGCTTTTTTTTAGTCTATATATGGATAAGTTACATCGATAACTACATCGATATCTAGGGACAAGTTTAAAAATAAACAAATTTACCTCGCCATTAATTACTTTGCATTTTCTTTCACTTTAAAGAATTGACATGCTGACCGTACTTCGTGAACAATAGCAACGAACAACTCACTCGCTACTGACAGGACCGCTCCGTCGGGTACACCCACTAACGGAAATGTTTATTTACGATTACAACTACAAATAAAGGCCACGCGTGCTCGTACTTTGCAACAATAATATTTGCAATAATATAATAAAATTAAATAAATATTCTAAAACTTCTGTCACAATTCAGAAGTTTTAAGGTACGCGTCCATTGGCCCGCGCCGGACACACCGCACACAACGTATTTTATTTTGCTTTTGCTCATAAATGGCGGCGATCGGTGCGGGCGGCACGGATAGTGGACGCAGCACTATGTGAAATCATACAAAGCAAAATAAAATCCGTTGCGTGCGGTGCTCCGGCGCCGGCCAATGGACGTGTACCTTTAATATACACTATCTAAATCTTTAAGAATGAAAATAAGTTGTATTTTCAAAGTAAAGACACCTCCCAGCTGAAGGTAAAACTAGGACATTGAGTATGAATCAGTACTAATTTTTCGATAATTCCGGAATGAGGTTGTTCGACAGAGAACTAAAGTCATCGGGATAGCTCAAAGAGTCAGCAAGCTGAAGTGGCAGTGGGCTGGCCATATACGAGTGGAGACCGCGCAGCGGAAGACGTAACGTGGGTCGCCCCCTGGCTAGGTGGTGCGATGACCTCCGAACGGTAGCCGGCAAGAAGTGGATGAGGAGAGCCGTAGACCGGGCTCAGTGGTGTGGATTGGGAGAGGCCTATGTCCAGCAGTGGACGACTGTGGGCTGTTGATGATGATGATGATGATCGATAATAATTGTAAATGGACGACTCGTAAGGAATGAAATCATAATATAAATATATAAAAAAGTGTAACTTCATAAAAGACCTTTCCAATCTATTCAAATAACATTATGAAATGGAATGTACTGCGTATTTTGTAATACATTTATAAGCCTAAGTAAGTATTAAAGTTGGACACTGTTCACAAAACTTACATAGCTAATAAGTGTTTGACCCTTAAATTCCCCATTTTTTTATTTTGTTGTGGAGTCATGTAAACAACTCCTGCTTATAACATACCGACCATGACTTTACGTGTTATACGTTACGTATACCATAATGTAAGTTAAATAAATAATACATTTAGTTCAATTTATGTATTCATTGCAGGACGCATACGTCATTTAGGGGGCAAAATGATCAAAACTGATAAGATAAAAATTAAAAAGGGTAAATTTAAGGGTTATTATTATTGCTTTTATTTCTTCTTTTGAGCAATCATTTTAACAATATTTATTTTGATCACACACATTTACAATTTCACTTTTCCTTATTTACTTAAAATAGGATTTATTAAAGTAGAAATTACTATCAGAAAAATAATAATTGACTAATTATGTAAAATGACCTTCCTTTATTCCTTATCTTTGTCTATTTTTACCACTTTCAGTTATCTTCCAAATGTATTAACAATATATAATAAATAATGTAACATTACCAATTTCACCATTTAAAAAATGAATATAAATAAAAAATACCTCTGGAACTCTATACTTAAGTGAGAAGATAAAGGTTTTTTGAGAATATCTTCAACAATATTGAACAACAATATATCTGTAATGAGTATTATTAAGTTTAAATCTAAATTTTGAGCCCTACCCCTTAGCAAAAGCTTAAACTACTATCTACTTAATTCCCCAATCTATGAAGTTCTTTAAAATGAATGCATTAAAAATACATTTTGGCAATTCACTACATGAATAGCATTAACAGTTTATTTTGCTTTTTTCTTTCCAGATTTAACAGTTTGTTCTACTTCTTTAGACCAAACCAACTTGTTAAATTTTTCGCCTAAGCTGTAGAGACTACAAACTAATCCAAGACAGACTAGATAGAACACTACTCTTAGGGGCCAGTTGAGTATATTCAGTATAGGATACACCCAACTTCCAGTTTTAAAATATATTACATGAATCCAAACCATGTAACACAACATATATGTACAAAGTACAGATAGTCCAATTTTCTTCCTAGGATACATTCTGAAGGATGTTAACAAATCAATTAGAATAAATGCCATTATGTTTGTATGCATTACATGATTCAGCCATGTAGGAAAATATGGGTCTAAGCTTCTTGGTAAAATGAGCTCTCTGTCGATGGCGTATATGCCCCAAAATGTAATACCAACAAACATAGACAGTGGAAAAGCCAAGGCACTAAATAATATATCTTTTATGCGTCTTATTAAAGGCTTCTCTGATGGTGTTGGCTCATTATTTCCAAATAAGTCATTCAAAAGTGCCAATGTGAAATACAAAGTTTGCATAATCTAGAAGAAAACAAGAACAAAAATTAGTTAAGTAAAAACTATTTTCATTAATTTAAGTGTTTAAAAATATTCTTTTGAATGAAAAGCTTCATTATAATAATATTAGTGTTGCTAGGACACCTTGTGAGCCCGCACAGGTAGGTAGTACCTCCCTGCCTATTTCAGCCGTGAGGTAGTAATGCGTTTTGGTTTGAAGGGTGGGGCAGCAAAGGTACTGTAAGAACTGAGACTTTGAAACTCATGTATCATGGTGGGTCGCAGCATTTACGTCGTAGATGTCTATGGGCTCCGGTAACCAATTAACAAACACCTGGTGAGCAGTGAGTTCATCCACCCACCTAAGCAAAAAAAAGAATCTTAGTTTAACAATAATATTGAGGTACTTCAGAAGCTGTCCATTTATACTTTTTTAATTCAATTACAAGCATTCAATTCTAATATAGTTAAGAACTGTTATAGGGTAATTAAGCATTGGAAACATTTTCATTAATATCCTTTAATATCATAAATCTCAGTATAGTTTGCTTTTTGTCCCACATTAAATTAACAATACAGTCAAAATCTGTTATAACGACATCGAAGGGACTGCTCATATTCAGTCGTAAAAACCGATAGTCGTAACAACCGGTGATGTTTAATGTGTATCGTGCAAGTACAAACAAATCGATAGGGAATTATTGGAAAAATATATTTACATAATACGCGATTTTTCTTCAATATTAATTTGTATCCTTTATCTTTGCGAGATTTTGAAAGTTTCACGAATAACTCCACAAAGAGATATGAAGAAGTGGGCTTTGACTACCGCATGCACGTGTTTTGTTTCTAAGAATTAGAAAAGACCCTACACTAAACTAAATCCTATTGTTTTCTTTCCTGATTTTAAAAGCCATTGAAGACAAATGTGGATACCTATTCAAATTGTTTACAATACAACTTAGCCGGTCGTTCTAACAGATCTGATCCGAAATATTAGTTAAATGTGGTCGTTTTATGAGGTATGTCGTTATTACCAATGTCGTAGAAAGCAATATTTTTAATAAGGCGGTCATATGGCATTCAGCCGGGACCTTTGTTCTAGGTTATTATAACCGGCATGTTGTATTAAACGATGTCGCAGTAAACGGTTTTGACTGTATTTATGAATTAATTTTATCATTACTATCTGTAAGTGGTTAGTATAGGTGATAGAAATTACGAGATGTGAAAGGCCAGATACAAATTGTGATTACCCATGGGCTCCATTAACCAATAAACATCAGGAGGACTATGAACAGTATGTGGAATATTACAAAATTTTGCAAGTTTTAGCAAAGAAAAGGCAGCCCTCCACACAAACATATCTATGACAAGACTACCACTTGTTGGTATTTAATAGATTTATTTCCATTATCCCAAGTATTTCTATACTTTCATAAAATCTTAATAACAATCTAGGGGTACTCACTTTCATAAATAATAGATAATGACACACTAAATTACTAAGGGTAACTTACAGCATTCAAATGGGTCAAGTATTTCATCTTTCCAGCATATGGAGTGACAATGGCTGAAGTGCTCGGAACATTCACATGCACCTGGTCATAGTAACAGCCATAACCAAAGTGTATAGCACCCAAAAGGTGAAAGAGGATCTTCAGCATTGTTGGTTCTGTAAAGCAATTTTAGTTTAACTTTTATTTTGGGCAGAAGTAACTTGGATAGGAAATGATTGCTTGTGCAAATTGTTCTTTCATCTTGGAAGTCATTTGTGAGCAATCACTAAATATGTATAACCATAGAAAAAATGGGATGTCTCTAGACTCGTATACTGGCATAGTTGCAGGTTACAAGTATATCTGCTGTCTTATCCTTTAAGCCACAATGTCTTCACTTTGCAGAGGCAAGTTTTAGATCCATATTCTGCAATTATTAAGTAATAAAATGTAATTTATGTTTTATTTTTAGTTCATTCACATTGAGATATTTTATTTTTCTCTGCGTTGAAGCAAGTTCTTTTATTGTTAAGACACACAAATAAAGCAAGCAATGTGAGTTTGTATTATCAAATTAGACTCAATCTTGTAACTCTTCAAAGTGCTCTCCATAAAACAACAGTGCAAAGTACCAGTCTTTTTGTAATTCTAGAGAATCGAAGATTCTTAGAAACTTATGAAACAGGAAATACGAGCATTTTTGTGCCAATTGCTCATTAAAATATTTTAATTATAAAACAAAGAAAAACATCGTCACGTTTTTGAATGTTATTTATAAATACAGACGACAGAGTTGGAATTTGACCGCTTTTTTTTTGCACTTTTAAATATCTTCTAAAACGGTTCTGCAAAAGATTTAAGTTTATTAATTAGTGGGACAGTAAACGATTATTATAAATCAAAAGAAATACATCTAATAACGCTTGTAGAACTTCAGCATGCCTTGTAATCAAATAAATCCATCGGTAGACACAAAATTTGTAAGCAAAATAATAATAATTCGTAAGTGATAATATTTTCAACATGGTAGTACAATTTTCATAGTCATCAGTTACAAAACAGTGAGAAATTGCAGAATAAAAACTAGATTAAAATATTTTTTAAAGCACATCTCTCCCGTAAAAAAAAGTGATTACCTTTATTTAAATATATGTATGTATTAGGACTATGTACAAGTTTTGTTAGTTACGAACATAAAAGAGCAATCGAGATTGACATATACCGCGACAGCAGAAGCTGTCTTCAGTCACTATTTGCTTGAGTAGTAGTTTTATTTTTCCAACTGGAAAGGCAAAGGTATGTGGCAGTGAGGGAGTCTATTATAGAGTCCCTTCTTTATTTCGTATCGTCGTGTTTTATGTAATTAACACCACAGTTGGAACAATATAAATTTTATTGATGTAGCGGCATAAACAATTCTAGCTAATTATATTATATTAGTTAATTAACACATTATAAATTATTTTTTATGTTTTAAATATTTGGCGGTAAAAAGGTCCCGTGTCACAGACTATATTCTGTTTCCCACATCTCGTGCGTTCCGGCTTACGCATCATAAAAAGGTGCGTACTTAAACGTCACACCAGGTAGCCATCATACAACGCAAGATAATTGACAGATGCCTGAATCTCACTTACGACATTTTCAAGATAAAGCGCATATATATAAGTTCCGAACAACAACATTCGGACCGTCGGTCAAACGAGCAAATATCACCAGCTCGGTGGAAAATCTTCCCTTTGTCGTATACCTACAGGTATCATACCATCTGTTATATACATATTTTTAATATGAAAACTAATATTATGCAATGAAAGAAGTCGATGAATGGCATGAAATGTAATGAAATAAAATGGGATGAGATGATATGGGATGAAATGTAATCTCAGTAAAATGGTGGTCATTTACTGAGACTTTTTCAATGGACTTTTTTGAGAATCCCGAGAAGTTACATATATATACAGTCGTGGTCAACTAATTAGGGACAATCTCTAGTTAAGCCAAATTGTGAATATTTTTTTTATTTTCCAACGAGTCTTAGCAATATTCCATATCTTTTACATATAAGTGTAATTAGTCATTTATGTGCGCGATTATACAAACAATAACAACTTCTTAAACATTAAACCTCTTTACAGTATAGCTGATACAATATCATAGTGCTATTGGTTCAAAAAATGCTGGCTGGCCATTTAATTAGGGACACTGAGGTATTGCGTTCTAATTTCAAAATTGGAATTTTAATACTTTTTTTGTTTCTTTTCTTATTGTTTAGTGGTGGTTTTGGCGGCATCCAGATTTTTTATTTTAAGTTTTGAGAATTATTTTGAAAAAAAATGGACAAAAATAAAAGTTGCGATCCAACACTACGAAAAATTATCATGAAGTTTGTCGAGCGTGGTTGGTCATACCGAAGGATAGCACAACATTTAAATTGTTCAAAAACTATGGTATGCAATGCAGTGCAACATTTCAAGCACTATAACACAGCTTTAAATGTGTCCAGAACAAAAAGATCGAGAAAAACGACTCCGCAAGAAGATAGAATGATAACCAGGTTAGCTAAGAAAGATCCTTTTCTAGGCTCTATTTTAATTAAACACGAAGTGTTTGGGGTAAACGAAAGAGCCGGTGTATCTGCGAGGACCGTTCGACGACGTTTGGTAGAAGCAGGATTGTTCGGAAGAGTGGCTCGCAAAGTACCGTTGTTGAAGAAAGAACATAGAAATGCTCGTTTGGCATTTGCACGTAAATATGGACATTGGACCTACGCCCAATGGCAACATGTACTTTTCTCTGACGAGACCAAGGTTAATTTGATTTCTTCAGATGGAAGGCAATATGTACGGCGTCCTGTAAAAGCGGAAATGAATCCAAGATTCNATATATATATATATTTTATTGCCTTTGTAGGCAGACGGGCATACGGCCCACCTGATGACCACATTTAGCGGCTTTGTTTCATTTTCTCACATTTGTGCACTTTCACAGATATTAAACAGTTAATAAACCACCGTTATTACACATTTAACCCTGAAGAAACACTAAATAGACAAAATAAAACAAATCACACAACTTGACCCCTCGCGTTTCTGTGCTTGATACCATTCGAATAACTTTTTTTTAAGATTTTATATCTTGGTAACGAGACCTTTCAGCTGGATTTTCGATATCGAGTAGAGGGAACTCGCTCTCGCCCCCTTCATTTGATGGCCGGAGTTCCGCAAGGCTCTGCGCTCTCCCCGTTATTATTTAGATATACATCTACGATATACTCCGGTCTCCGGACACCTATCTAGTGCTCTTCGCCGATGACACGACTATCTACTACTCGTATAGGAAGAAGTCGCTATTGCATCGGCGACTCTAGATTGCAGCAGCCACCTTGGTACAGCCGTTCCAGAAGTGGCGCATTGACATAAACCTCACGAAAAAGCACAATAGTGCTCTTCAAAAGGGGTCGCCCTTCGAATAGCACTTCGAGCAGCCCAGTCCCTAATAGGCGCGTTAACACCTCCGCCATTCGCCCCATCACTCTTTTCGACTAGCCCACACCGTGGGCCTTTTAGCTCAAATATCTAAGCCACACCCTCGACAGAGGGATGACTTTCATACTAGGACGCTTCTATCCCATGATCTGCAAGCGAAGTAAATTGTCCCTTCGTAATAAGGTGACACGCTACAAAACTTGCATAAGCCCCGTCATGACCTATGCAAGTGTAGTGTTCGCTCATGCGGACCGAACTAATTTGAATGCGCCACTTTAAGAAGGCGGCACGACACGAAAACCCTCTTGTCGTGGCCGCCGGAAATTACATAGGTACTCGATCCTGGGGACCGAATGGTAAACAGTCGACATCGCCCTAAACGCGTCATTACGGATCCTCCCGAACCATTAACGGTTCTTTTAGGTACCTCAAGAACCGGTCACTGTCCACGCCGAACCCGTTGCTTGAGACGATGGGCTCAGCGAGTAAATTAACCCATAGACACAGCCCACTGAGTTTCTCGCCGGATCTTGTCAGTGGATCGCGTTTCCGATCCGGTGATAGATTCTGCGAAGCACGGCTCTTGCTAAGGTTCGTGTTAGCAACAACGTCAGGTTTGAGCCCCATGAGCTCACCTACTTGCCCCGTTACGCTGAAATAGTATCTCAAGACCATCAGCTTAGGTAGGAAAAAAAAGACCCGATGCTACATCAACCTACTCTAATTCAAGATCGTCCATATGTAGAAATAATATAAATGAGCAAAATTGAATGGGGTAACATAATACATTCAAACAATCTAGTTAAAAAAAGGTCAGGTATTCATATTATGAATGAATACCGTATGGTATTGGCTGTTTTTTTATTCGTAACAAATTATTGGGCATAGGTAGGCTCCGATAGCTCTTGATAAATTGGCCTGAATATTTCTAAAGTAAAACAACAATAATTCACGTTTTCCAATTTAATTTGTGAAACACTGATTTTATTAATAAATTACAATAAGTTAAAAAAATAGTTAAATAAATTTATTCAGACGTTGCTAAATAGGGGGTAATTTTTCAAAAGCCTGTGGCGCGTTATCCGTGAAAGTAGCGGTAAAGACAGACGGACCTTGACGCGCATACTGCGGCGTTGCAGCGGGAAGTTCTGGAAGAGCACCTCGGACCAAGCGACGTAATGCCGCATTGCGACGACGTAGCACTACTACTTCTGCATTGACGCACTCACGTTCTAAACATGACAATTACATATAATATACGAAATATTACATCTCATTTACAGCATCTACGAGTTACATTGGAAGGGTACTACGTTGTAGCAGTAGCATCGAAATTTCTTTAACAGGTCTCTAATAACGGAATTTTTTATTTGTTTCAGGCATCAGTTATCAGTGCCTTTTTTTCGGTCTGGGGCCGAAACCGAACACACGTGGTATGTAAGGGATAGTATTTAGGGCCGGGGTAAAGGGGTTACCGCGGTCAACACTGCAACTCGACGCATGGCTCACCCAAGGACAACTCGAGACTCTGGACCTCGGGGGCGCGTTAAAGTGTTGTAAAGCGCTGAGGCCACAGCCTACAGGGTCCAGGACGTACATTCGTACTGTCTCTTCGCAGAAGTCACGCATCACCTTCCAGGACGCGTCGCTGCCAAGCATCGTATTCACGATGGTCAGCAGCGACAGGTTCTCTCCCACAACCGCGACGACTCAAGTAAACGTAACAAAAGGCAATTTGTCGCCAAGCTTGCGAGGTTCTAACTTACCCTGTAGAATAGCTAAATAATCATTCAAAGCGCTGATTAAACCATCCCAAAATCTATCTTTTTCTGCTGGAAATATGTTTTTCCAGTGTGCCCAATACTGTTCGATTTCCTCCGTAGTTAGCTGACGGGATGGTGTTGAAAAATCCGGCGGCTTAACAGACTCTCTAAATTATCAAAACAAATATTATCAAACACTTCAAAAAATTACTTAATGTTAACGTTTAAAATTTACATACATAAAACCTTTAAAATATTAAAACTTACAGAATATTGAATAGTTTTTTCTTCTCCGGCGGTTCAAAAATTTTAATGAATTCGCCCAACGCTGTTAAAACTTGCATAGGTTCAATTTCCAATGGATGTCCAACTGAAATATATAAATAAAGCGGTGTTATTAATGTATAACTACCACGACTATTGTAGATTGCATCATCCGTACTTAATAAAAAATATATGCAAAATAAATAGACATATAGGTATGAAGGCTTTACAGATTAAAATACTATTATGCGCCGAATAACAGCAGTCTGAAATATAAACTCTATCGAACGTCTAATGACAATAATCGATGATCATTTGCCTTAGGCCCGTACTATGGATCTCCCGCTTACTTAAGTGACTAGGGTAGCAATAGGATATAAACCTTATATACCTCCATAAAATAGATACTGCTCACATAGCAGTAAGTACCTACTGTATTTTCTTTAGTTTTCGACAATCGTAAACACATCTAGGTATTTAAAATTGCATCAACAGAAACCTTGAAACCGCCCTACCGACTTTAATTACTATTTAGTTGACACGAAACTTAAATACTAATTGAAATCATGGGAATTGACTTAACCAAAAATTTAAATTAAAAAAATGTTTTAAAAAAAACAGGTTTACTTCAATTTAGACTCCTTCAATTTAGATTACTTACACGGACACAAAAATGGATTTACTAATTTTTGCGCTGTATTGGCCTGTGAGGATACGGTAACGCCTCTTGCTCCAGGTCTTTTCCCAGAACCAGATCCACCATCAGAAATGGTACCAGGTACTGACGACATGCTAACTAAAAAAGTTGTAATAAAACATATACATAGGTAGATCAGACATCACAAAACAAATGATTTTTTAAATACTATTTCAGATCAATGGCTGCCTGCTTTTGAGTGGATTTTAGATCACACGTCAGACCTCATTTAAGTAAAATTTACATAACTAATAGATAAACGGCATTCAAAAGTCACAATTCTGAACAATTTTCATTCAATTTAATTATTAAATTTCTATAATATATTTTGTGACTTATAAGCATTAAGTACCGGTAGGTTTAAGTAATTATGGTTCAATGGAATTATTATATCATATGCTTTGAAAAAACATACGACTCCTTATTATTTTGAAATCTGCGGTAACAGAAAACCATAGATATATCTATAATCTTCGTTTACCGCCTAACACCAGTTGAAGCCCGTTTTAAAACAGCTTACATCATTGATGGGTCATTTTAGGGATTTGAATTGTCAAAACAATATTACAATTCATATACAAATTCGTAGCCACTTCAAAGATTTCGGAGACCGCGCGTATTATCAGTCTTTACGCAATCTACCAAACGCTCCAAATTTTAAATTAAATAGAGACATTTAGAACCTTGAAGATCTCCACATTTTTGAATAATTTCATCAGCTTCAGCCATCAGAATTTGATCCGTAGGTGATAAGTCGTTGCTCCTGTGTTCAATAGAAAAAAAAAATAGTTTAAAGTTTGTTAATAATTCGACGTTCGAAATACCGTTACATACCAAGGTACCTACTTAAATCCGATGTGTCCAGATTTAGTGGTGCTAACCGACATACTTCTCACAACGCTTTGCCTGCCTCGAACTGACATTCGATCCCCTGGAATACGTTGTTTAAAAAAGCAAACACTTTAATATATTATATCAACCATCGAACAAAATTGAATTCAAGACGCCTGACGCAATTACCTCGGGTTGACTTCGCACTAACGCTAGCATGATGGGATTCGTCGCGTGATGTCATCGATGCACGCGATGGTTCTAATAAATCAGATTCCACATCCAGCCCAACACAAATAGGACAGAATGCATAGTTTAAAAATGTTTTACATAAGATTTCAATGTCTTCCTCTGCTTGTATATCCAGTGCCTAAAATTGAAATATTAAATTCTTTGCTCATTTACAACACTAAAAATATACATTACGAGTTAATGTGACAATATAAAACCAAATGCACGTACCATAAATATAGCATCTAAAGTGCACAAATTTCTGGAGACTGGTTGATATTTCTCGATCAATTTAAGTAAGCGATTCTCTATTAAAAATCCCGTGTTATCTGTTACTAGTTGAAGAATGTGACGAACCTGTGTAATTTGTTTTGTTTATTATTTCAAGAGATTTTCATTTTCCAAGGAGTATCCCTTCAACCTTCCGCAAGTATCGGGATACTTGGGATCGACATTTCGAGTGATGTCCAATTTCGTATTTTGATATACATATTTATATTTCTCTGTATTTTGTACCGTATGTTCCATGGGGAGTGCTCTGAGGAATTGTTTGAGATGATCCCCTCATCTCCTTTTTATCATCGCACCTCCCGCCATCGGAGCAGAGGTCATCCATATCACCTGGAACCGCTGCGTTCATCGACAGTGCGTTTCCAGAGGTCTTTTTTGCCACGTACCATCCGGCTATGGAATGAGCTCCCCTCCACGGTGTTTCCTGAGCGCTATGACATGTCCTTCTTTAAAAGAGGCTTGTGGAGAGTATTAAGCGGTAGGCAGCGGCTTGGATCTGCCCCTGGCATTGCTGAAGTCCATGGGCGAAGGTAACCACTCACCATCAGGTGGGCCGTATGCTCGTCTGCCTACAAGGGCAATAAAAAAAAGAAAAGAAACTAATAGTAAGTTACTGTCCATCAATTATGACATACCAATCGTTCTTTAGCCGCTTGTAGTCTGCCATCCTTCGTCTCGTCTAATTTTGATTCACTTAATTCATTCGATTTATCTTTATTAGCTAATTCTCGTTGCTCTGCAAACAAAACCTCGTTCAAAACCCATAAGAATTATGAAATATATATTTTTAATGAAGATATTTCCAGTCTCCAGTTTACCGTATTTGCTTAATGGACTTTTGGGTAATGGCGGTGGAGGAGGCGGAGGTGGTCCGGCCAGAACCTGAGCATGTAAGGCTACTTCACCTTGCCTTAGCTCTTTACTTAATTCTGAGCAACGATGCGTTGCCATACGCCATATTTGGCAAAACTTATAATCGTTAACGTGCTTGAATTGATCAGACTTTTTCTCCAAATCGTCCATTGTCTGCATCAACTTTACAATTTCAGCGTCTGCTTTAATTTCTTCTATGGCGCCTTCTTCAGCAGCCTTGCGAATTTTCGCACGTAGTGCATTAGCAACGTCAGACATTTTGTTAAGTTTTCGTTTTTGTTGTGACCGGACAAAAACATTTTCTTCTTCGCGTTTCTTTAGGATCTACAACATACCACTAATGGTGAAAGTACATCATTTTCATCGTTAGTCATTTATTTACTCAGCCTGATAGATATAACTGGTAAACATTTTTTATACTAAACGTACGAATTCTAAAATCGAACGTGCTCTCCTATGGAATTTTTTTGAGATCTCTCCAAAATATCCAATTTAAAAATTACATATACATACATATAAAAATACAGATTTATAAAATTTATCTACAGTTACATTGTGTCGTCGTGTGTTTTGAAGTCGTTGTGGCCTAAAGGATAAGACGTCCGGTGCAATCGTATCTAGCGATGCAACGGTGTTCGAATCCCGCAGGCGAATACCAATTTTTCTAATGAAATACTCGTATGTACTTACCTAACAAATGTTCACGATTGACTTTCACGGTGAAGGAATAACATCGTGTAATTAAAATCAAACCCGCAAATTTATAATTAGCATAATTACTGGTGATAGGACCTCTTGTGAGTCCGCACGGGTAGATATTACCATCCCGCCTATTTCTGCCGTAAAGCAGTAATGCGTTTCGGTTTGAAGGACGGGGCAGCCGTTGTAACTATACTGAGACCTTAGAACTTATATCTCAAGGTGGGTGGCGCATTTACGTTGTAGATGTCTATGGCAGTATGTCAGTAACCATTTAACACCAGGCGGGCTGTGAGCTCGTCCACACATCTCAGCAATAAATAAAAAGAAAAATTTTGAGAAGAGAATTGTGTGATGTCAGAAGTATGTAAAATGGAATATTGATTTTAACCTGATAGTTGTAACCAATCTTTTCCGTATTTATAATGCAAGTGGCTTTCAATTTTTCTAATTCCCTTTGCAGTTCTTGAATTAAAGATTCGAGTTCAATTTTAGCTTCACGAAACTTTTCATGATGATCCCACATAATTACTTCTATTTCTTGCTTGTGTTCTTCTAACTGTGAAATAGTTGCAACTTTATAGCAATATAAGTGCAACGAAGCTATGTATTACATAATAGTTTCAACCGTATATAAATTAAATCAAATTACAGCCATACTTCATTGTAAGAGGTAGGAAGGCCTTGATGACAATGAATAGCGTTGACTTGGGCTCAAATTTCGTCAAGTAAAATTGCAAATAATTATATTATAGGTAAATAAACAATCATCACAATCATCATAGGTAAATAATCATCACTCGAGGCTCAAATCGAGACTTTATTCATTAAAGTAGGGTACTACCTGCTTTGATCTATATTCCACATGAGCTAATTCTTCTTTGTCACGTTGCTTGTAGAGAGCTTCCCAACGCTTATTGTTGTGATCAACCATAACTTCCCGCTCGATTTTTATCGCTTGTTCTATCAAGGATAGTTGTTTTTCATAAGCTCTTTGCATTATAGTTACTTGTTTTTCGATTCTATCAGACAATTCTTTGATATCTTTATCCTAAAATGATATGGCTATTAAAATTATGTTTAACTTTGATTGTCTAACTTATTATATTGTTATGTGGTTTAGTCAATCGCCAGTTATTATTACACACTTGTTTATCTAAGTCTTCATAATAAGCATCATCCATTTGTTGTAGGTTATTCTTTAATTCAGTTATCACTTCATTTTTTTGTTCCATTAAGAAATCGCATTTTTGTCTCTGCTTTTTCATTTCTGCGTCTATATCTAATGGATCTTTGATATTGAGCATGGTATTCCAATTTGACGTAATAGCTTCATACTGGATCTGCGCCTCTGTTGCTTCGTCTTCTATCTTCTTCATCAAATCTTATTTTAAAAAAAACGTTTATATAAGTTGCACAAACAATATAATAGTTCTGTAATTCTGTTAACAGTAGATGTAGTAACAGCACTTGAACTAGAGGAAATTCTACCCCTTACAAATGAACACATTCCACAAAATACCTCTCATATTATCTGCGAATAATCCTCTTCTTAAGACCTCTCGTTCGTCGGTGGTGACTTTGACATTGGTAACTTTAGCAGCTCCATCAAGATTCAACCTCTGCAACTCCTCTGCAGCGGTAGATGTAGCTAGTTCTATTGGACCAGCATCTTCATCTGCTACGATTTCTTCAGTTTGTTGTTCTGATCTATTTAATGATAATCAAAAGGAAAAGCAGTGTGGAATAAAGACATTTAAAAGTTATTGTTTATGTATTAAAATTTCATAATTCTGCCATTTGAAATAATTTTCAATGTATCAAACCGCTGAAGTCAATAATTGGAATACCTAATACTAATTTCGTGTTCTTATATTTTTGTGAATAATAAATTTAATTCGAATATTTTGGTGATCTAAATCAGTATTTGATCTCAGAAGTATAGCAATATTTTATTGAGATAGGAATTGATATTAGAAAACCTTTTTAACGCTTCTTGTCTCCTTTTGATACGCAGAGACCTAGCTGCTTTTCTCTCGACTGGGTCATGTGACGTAATTTGAGGTTCTGTAGGAGCGAGGACATCGTCATCTTCGTCATTATATCTTTCGAAAGTTCCAGCCATAGTTATTATTTTAATAATCTGCCTGACATTTCCTAAATTATTTCTGTAAAAGATGGTTATTTACAGTTGTCATGGTAACCAATGAGAACGTCATAGATAAAGAAAGTGGCAGAAAATTGATATCAAATACTATAAAAAGACTGATGTGATCAAATCAATGAGTCGCTTGTCTCATTGTAATTTCAAAAGTAGAACTGTACAATCTATCATCCGTTACGTCTAGCTGATAGAAGCTAGATTATAAACTAATGTATATACCTACAGCTTTACTTCCTAAAGCGTGGTCCGTCGTCCACTAACCCCACAAACTAGTCACTAATTGCGTGAGATTTCAAAACGTGTGAGGGATAGCTAGTTACTTACCTAATAGCTTCCGTGACATCGCTTGCGAAGGTACCTACTTATAGTCGAGAAAGATGCGGTAAGGTTTGTTTAAAAATTCTAATTTTGAATATTTAAGGTGTGTAAGAAACTATCTAGGTAATTAGATTTTTAAAGCCATTTTAGGCAATTGAACATTTGGCTCATCATAAAGATACCTATAGGATATAGGATCGTGTGATATAGATATAGCATAGTGTGTGATCACCGTCGATAATGGAACATAGCAATGCATGCTCAAGCCTTTACCTGCAGCCGTTACACCGAGTTTGATTTGTATTTCCTAACGTCGTCTTTTTGTTTTGATTTAGGCCAATTATCACTTAATTATACTGGATAGGATTTGCTTTAGAGTCTGTTGTTAATGACCGCCTATATTTAAAGGAATGTCTATGGCAAAATTTAACTTTATTCTATCGGACGGCCATTTATTTATCTCGTATTTTGTATTTGGCTATCTACCTAAATATGGATCATTAGTAGGTACCTACTTTAAATGTCACTTATTTAAACTACACGAAGTTGTGAGCTGATTTTTTATTATTAGATGAGGCAGACAAAAATAAGGTACAGCTCACACACCTTATGCATTTGCGGCGGTGTCCGGATACTCTGCGGACCATGAAAATTCAGGTGAGGGATGTACGTGGAGATATCGCGCCGGTTCGTACCCATATTCGCAGCAGGTTTCTAAGGTGAAGAACCTCTAGTCGATAGAATAATGTAGGTAAGGGAAGTCGACAAATTGTTTTTTTTTTACGAATCACCTGGCGCAGGGCTGATTCTCAACAAATCGCAGCACGACGCTGCTCTACGTACCGGAATCGCAGCACGACGCTGCTCTACGTACCGGACCATATTTTATTACGTCTATTATCTATGCCGGACCGCACAAAAAATATAACGTGAATACTATCTAGACTCTAGCTCTTCTAGACACGATTGAGGTTTGAAATGCATTTCCACAAAGACTATCCTTTTTTCCCGTACGACCGGGTTGCTCTTCTACAGTACATGCGTCGACGACAGCGACGCCGCGACGCCGGCAACGAGGACCGCACCTGTCGCTGCCGACCGTCGTAACCACGATGCTCGACAGCGACAGGTGCCTAAAGGATAAGACGATTGAGTCTTAAGAATTGAAAGAAGAAGAAAGATTGAGTCGTCGTGGCCAAAGGATAAGACGTCCGGTGCATTCGTATCTAGCGATGCACCGGTGTTCGAATCCCGCAGCCGGGTACCAATTTTTCTAATGAAATACGTACTCAACAAATGTTCACGATTGACTTCCACGGTGAAGGAATAACATCGTGTAATAAAAATCAAACCCGCAAAATTATAATTTGCGGAATTACTGGTGGTAGGACCTCTTGTGAATCCGTACGGGTAGGTACCACCGCCCCGTCTATTTGTGCCGTGAAGCAGTAATGCGTTTCGGTTTGAAGGGTGGGGCAGCCGTTGTAACTATACTGAGACCTTAGAACTTATATCTCAAGGTGTGTGGCGCATTTACGTTGTAGATGTCTATGGGCTCCAGTAACCACTTAACACCAGGTGGGCTGTGAGCTCGTCCAAAGATCTAAGCAATAAAAAAAAAACAAAAAAAAAAGGTGCGGTCGTATTTTCGCAACGAATACGCGACACTGTTCTGCGAAAGCAGGGCACTACGCGAGCGTATCCTTCGCCGGCTACTCATCGAATAGCCGAAGGAGGCGTGTCCCTGCGTCGTCTGAAGATGAGACGTCAAGCGGCAAGACTACGCCTCGATTACGGCCCGCCGAGATTGAAGCCTCCCCGCTCCAATTTCCGTCTTGCCGGGACGGTTCCCCATGGAGCGGAGGTCATCTCATTACATACAATCCGCAACTAGTGCCTCGGCCTCCAGGCCCCAGGGAGGCGTTCCGGCGAGCACGCTCGCCGCCTTTACGGCCTGGCCACGGGGATCGGCGGTGCGAACAGCGAAGCGGTGGACGAGGCGACCATTCGCGCAACACCGTTTGCAGGCCACGGGTACTCACATTCGCCGCCGCGACTAGTAAGGAAGTCCGACAGCGAAATGTCTATATCGAAATTATCTCGATATTGCTTACAAATTAATAGTTTTTTGGTTCAGGACCTATTATTTGGAAAAGATTGTGAAGTACATGATTTGAATAAGAATCGGAGTATACCTATAGATGGAGAATTCCACAAGAAGTACGAGAAATACTTTGGGTGGCTAGACTTCCAAATAGCTGGTCTAGCTAGTATTTCAGCTATATATTTTTTTTATTGCTTAGATGGGTGGATGAGCTCACAGTCCACCTTGTGTTAAGTGGTTACTGAAGCCCATAGACATCCACAACGTAAATGCGCCACCCACCTTGAGATATAAGTTCTAAGGTCTCAAGTATAGTTACAATGGCTGCCCCACCCTTCAAACCGAAACGCATTACTACTTCACGGCAGAAACAGGCAGGGTGGTGGTACCCACCCGCGCGGACTCACAAGAGGTCCTACCCCCAGTAATTACGCAAATTATAATTTTGAGGGTTTCATTTTTATTACACGATGTTATTCCTTCACCGTGGAAATCAATCGTGAACATTAAAATTTGTTGAGTACGTATTTCATTACAAAAATTGGTACCCGCCTGATATTCGACTACCGGTGCATCGCTCAACACCGGACGTCTTATCCGTTCGGCCACGACGAGTTTAAAAATACAAAAAAAAAATTTAATAAAAAAATATAAAATATAAAAATTTCGGCGTTCATTTTTCGCGGCGAAAACAACTAAACTCATTTAATCACTGCACTATTCGCCGCGACTACCGCTCGACTCCGTGGCTTGCGCCGTCCTTATTCATGCATTTGTTTTGCTCGCCCGCCGCATCGTTAGTCGCCCGCGCGATTCGCTCGGTACATTCCGCCGGTCGCTTCGCCGGTCGCCGGTGCGCGTGGCTTGTTAGGTACATTTCTATGCTCTTATTTTAGTCGCTAGACGCTTCGCCGTTCGCACCGCGCGAATATTCGTATCGGCGAACGTCCCGTGGCCAGGCTGTTAAGGAGACGGCGAAAAACTGATCAATCAGCCATTTAGATCAAATCATCGTACATCTCATTACTAGTTATAGACATCTTAAATCGAAGTCATTTTGAGTTCTCGTTTTTTATAAGATTGTTCTTGAACATGTGATATTTAGGGATGTCCATGCATTTATTATACGAGGGTATAGCCATATTTGGGACATTTTCGAATACATGACCAATATAAATATCAATTTAAATTAAGGGCTTAGTTGAGCCTCTAATGTCGTATGGCTATCGACAATAAAAAAGCTATTGTTATCAAATTATTACCTCCATATTATTGAATGTTTGGGAAATAAAAAGGCAAAGGAGTTTTATTACTTTTATTTACTTATATTTTACTTTGCTTTGCTATTAAGTATGATACCATCATATTTCTGTTGGAACCACTTCATAGCATCTTCCTTTGTGAGGCGGTGGGGAAATCCCACTTTTCCTGTCTTACGCCTTCTGTGTGCTACGTTGAAACCTGTAACCAAAATCACGCATATTGTAATGAATAGGTGCAAAATAATAGTGAAATTTATCATGTAATATGATATTACCAAAGTATGTATATCATCATTTTAGATTTAGAGGAAATAAACTTTTCTCTCATAATTTTTTTTTCAATGATAATTTAATTTTGCACACTTTTTACAGAATGAAGGTACATTTAAAGATGACAACATTCCTGAACAAGTATGCTGCACTTTTTAACAACGCGATCATGACAACAATGGTCACAAAAAATTTAATATTATAACTTTAATCTTCACTGAACTTAAATTCAGTCAAACAAAATTAATCTTAATCAATAAAAGTCAATGAGCCTCCTGAATAACATTTTGAAAAATTTAAGTTATTTCCATATATTTCTTATTCATTTTTATCTCTAAAACACTTAAATTTAATTAAAAATTTTCTGATTCTTTTACTATTTTATATTACATATTTAAATATATATATATATATATATATATATATATATATATATAAAAGGTGGGTTGACGATGCTGACGTCTATGGGTTCCAGTAACACCAGTATATACATTTATAATGATATGGAATATTTCAGAATTAAAACACAATAAAAGACTTGCATTTTCTGTGACATAATAAGAAAGCAACATATAAACTTGATAAAAAAAATTAAACATTATTATACTATACAAAACTGAACTCTTTTTCCATTGTATGACAGACAGATGAGTGATTCCATCTATGAAAAGTCTTCTTTAAAACTAGTTTTAAAGGTTTTAAATGATAATGGTTTTTCTTTACATATAAACTTTTTTCTTACTTGGGTGGATGAGCTCACAGTTTACCTAGTGTTAAGTGGTGACCCAAGTTCATAGGCATCAAGAACGTAAATGCTCTCACCCACCTTGAGACTTGAGAGTTCTATGGTCTGTTTTTACGTTTGCCACACCCTTCAAATCGGAACGCATTACTAGTTCACGACAGAAATAGGTAGGGTGGTGGTACCTACCCCTGCCGATTTACAAGACATCCTTCCAGTAATTACATAAATTACGATTTTTGCAAATTTCATTTTTATTACACAATATTATTCCTTCACTTTAGAAGTCAATCGCGAACATTTGTT